TAACTTAAAACAAACCTAATCTAGAATACGTCACAACTTCCTATTACAATTATGTAGCCAAAAAATCACAACATCCTACACATAAAAAAAACATAATAATTTTAAATTACCTACCCAATAAATAGTCTGAATTCCGTGTAATATTAAGTCGATGTATTATACCATTTAAATATTATCCTTTATACAAACGCAGCTATGACGTCATAAATGTTCTGTAATACAGGTCAGTAGATTAGAAAAAGATCCAATTTAATTACATAACATTTACAAATAACTAGTGAGCGAGAATGACGATGATTTTTAAAAATGATTATTACACTATATTTAGTTAAATCTAAATGTTTACTGAACATTGCTAAAAAATGAAAGGATACTTGATATAACCTTGTTCATTTATTTAGTTTTCATATTTTACACTGTAATAGAACCGTTAGCACAGGTTGAGGCAATCGGTAAGTAAATCTCAATTTATGTTATCCAAAGATATTCGATGAGATTTTATAATTGAGTGGACTTGAAAACAGATTTCTTTTTTTAATTTTCACGACAAGATTAATATGAAACTGTCATCTATTCAATCACATTGTCTTCACTCGCTCTAGGTTGCCATTGCCGAACCATAACACATGCTTCTGTTTTTTTAAAAACGAAGGGATGTCAATATATTTTATTAGGGTGTTTTGGTAGTGAAAATAAGGCGGAAAATCGTAGCATACGAATTATTAATAAAACTTATTGCGTCACAACAACTTGTAAAACTTCAGCTTAGCTTTACCAAGCTCGACAGAGAAATTTAAAATTAAAAAAGTATTAAGTATCTCCAAACAAGCATGTATAGTAATAGTAGTAGGGGCTACGGTTTCCGCAACTCCACGGCTAGCGCGTATTTAGCGTGAGAAACAGGACATAGATTACTCCAGCAAATCCAGCTCTCCGAAGAACCCCAGCAAACCCTTTATATTGCTTGTGATCTCCGGGAGCGATCTCAGCGAACCGAGATACCTAACCCTGTATTCAGTCACTGCTGGGCAGTGTTGTATGATTTGTGAAGCATGTATTACCGACGGAGTAAATATCTATCAATTGCTTGTTTAAGCATGTAGTATAAACAAGTAATTGATTGTATTTACTCCGTCGGTAATATTTTTATCACGACTTTTTTCCTTAGGGAGGGCCGGGGAATTGCTGGGCATGGCCGGGATCGTATCGTTATTTCTCAAGGGCATTTACTGACCTTGACGTGAACACAACATAAAATTGATTAGGATAAATGAATAAAAGTACACCAATTTTACTCGTAAACAAGTTTTTATATAAAAGCAAATAAGTCTGATATTTAGAATGTTAGGTGTTTAAAAGTATTTTCTTTAAAAGGTACAAAAACAAGAAACTGTTTTTCTAAACGTCCATTATGTACTTTTATTCTGCGGATTTTCCTACAATTATCAATTAACAAAAACGGCGAGGTCAAAAAATGTTTGTGTGGGATTATTTACTTCATTTTGTCCAAGTCTTGTTAAATTGCAACACCAGCTCACATATAAAAATTAGACAACTTTATCTTGCTAAGTAAAAAAACCTTTTTGAAAATCGGTCTGGGAAGGTATCTATGGTTTTGTCTCTATGTCGCAATTAAAACGAGACATGTATACAGCATTAGACACACTATAATTGTAAAGACGTCGAGTCATTTCAGGCGCCGACGTCATCGCGTTTTAATTACATGTCACATGCGCACAATGTTCCCATGCGACATTCTCCATATTGAAGTCTTAAAATAGTACTACGGTAGTGCTGAACCGTTTTCAAGAATGCAGCGACCTCGACACACTTAGTCACTCTGCAGAACACCGTCTGTATTTTCCTTTAATTATAATTTTATATCAATTTGCTCAGTTGTCTTTTCTATCTCAAAGGCAGAGACAAGCAAAATAAAATAATTCCAGACTTTGATACGATATCCGTTATTGTAAATTTAAAAAATAATTTCGATTTATTTACTTCTAAACAGTACTACGATTTAATATTACTTCATGTGTAGAAAACAAACGTCTTTTTAATTATTTGGATAAAGTTTTTTTAACTACTTTTTAAAATGACAATATTTCACTGTCTAGACGAAATTTTATTAACAGGCAAAACGAAAAAGGATTAACGCATTTACTTTCCCATCTCACATTCTCTTGAAAGTACAAAGACAGTTCATCAAATTATTGCATACAAATAAATTAACATGAAATAACTTATGAATAATGAATTTGTAAATTACTATTAATGAATTAATCTGGAGCTTAATTGTATGTACAAACGAGTTGGTAGGGAGGCCTTCGCCGCAAGGTCTGTTTATTTATCTCGCTTCTCTATTGTAAGATAGAATTTCCTTGCGGAGCTTCCCTTGCATTCAGTATCCAATTAGACTATGTCAAGGTCAATTTCATACCTTATTAAATATCCGTGAAACAAATAAAACAAACGCAATCTTAACAACTTTATTTAACCATTGTCTTAGCTGTGACCTCACAGATTAAATACATAGCGATCGACTGTAAAACGTAGTTGAAAACGACCTTACTATGCTCGTATATTTATAATAACAATTAACTATACAATTATAATATAACTTATTCAACGCTTTTATTATTTAAATTGCTATTAAATTTGTACGTAATTCAAACCGGCCATGTCCCTAGGTCAAGAAAGAAATTTTTTATTGTGTTATTTTTATTTAATTTAGTACTAGGCCACACACTTTTCAATTTAAATCCAAAAATATTATATAGTAATTAACATTGATCATTATGTATTTTTCACTAAACAAACATTGTACTACAGAACTGCATAAAACGGGCACGATTGAATGCCTAGCGCTGTGTCGAAAATAGGCCAAGTTCACAAAAATAGGTCAGGGGGATCTAAACAACTGGGTGTTAAGCGGTACTCATGGAACGGATATATCTGTACTGAGCATTTCATAACACGTAGAACGTATCAAATACTCAGTTGACCAAAGCATGCCGAACCATTTTAAATATGCAAGTCTGTAATCAGAACGGTCCAGTTAATAAGCTTGGGAACTAACTCATTCAAAGAGACCTGATGATCCGATTTAGTAAGTTGCGAAGGTAATGGTTATAAAGGCAATTATAGTTGATCTACTTTTATGATAATTAATTTTCCATGGACACGTTTGAATTGGATCAGCCGGGAAACTGGGTCGGACGGGTCAAGATCAAATGCGGTAAATGGGTCAACAGGAATCGCACCGATGTTCACCCTCGCTCCCCCAGGCCGAGGGTGGTAGATGCGCGGGGACGTTGGGCTGGGATTGAGGAGGCTCTCCCCCTCTAGTGAAGCGCTAACGAGCACTCATATATGTACTTTGTCATAACTGTTCTAGAGCCGCCGAACGGTCTGAACAATAAAAAGTTGATTTAGATATCGTATTTCAAATTAATAAACATTGTTAGTTAAATTGGATTCGGAAACTCTAGAAGGGACGACAGTTTATTGGATGTAGCACTAAAGTGCAGTGTGCACGTCAACTAAATCAAAACAAAGACATTTTGGCAGAAAATGAAAACCCAAGGTTTTTAAAAAAAGGAGCATACTTGAGGAGGATGATGTATTTGTTAGTTCTGCTACCATTGGCATTTCTAACAGAATTTCAAGTGCGTAAATTAAACATGTTCATAAGTAAGTTCGGCGAAGGGCTGCCGCAGGAAGCGGGAGCGACGGCTTGGGCCGTTATTTTAGTTCACAAGGTTGAGAGCATGATCCCACGTGTTACCCATACATTTGCATTAGTATGGGCCTGTCAAAGAAGCGAGATGCGCTAAATGTAAATCAATAATATCTTGATTAACACCTGGGTCAGGAGCATGATCTTTGTCAAGTTGTTCCACATAGATTGTTGTGATATATGCATAATAGTGCCTCAAAGAAAACTTTTAATATTCAAGATACAATAGAATGGCTCACCTAGTTTCTCTGCTTTTCATAAGGTTTTCAGATTATCGGTTTTCAGAGATCGTTATTTAAATACCGTTTGTCCTCAAAAATTTTCCGCATAGAATCGATAAAAATTAGCATTTACAAAAGATTTGAAAACAAATAGATAGATTTATCGATGTTGGCAAACATTTTGGTAAAAATGAGATTATTTCTGTGTATTTTATTAAAATTAAAAAGAATTTAGATAAGGCCGTTATGTTAAAATGGAATAAGGTAAAAAGTAGGTGCGATTTTATCATCGACATGACAATTGCATATGTACCGTACCCTTGGCGCGAACGGCAATGCATCTCGCGGCGGTGTTTTCATTATGTGTACAATAAACACACACAAGCGCGCGCACGAGTAACCGCTCACAGTCATATGTTATTTATATACTTGTGAATTAGGTATTCATCCATATACAGGGGCAAGTAGGTCAAGTTCGTAAAATCCAGGACAGAGGATAAGAGAAGCAATGTTGACACAAACAAATGTAGGTTACACAGATGTTTGCATAGCGCACTGAGTGATCTTTGCTTCGGTAAATATAAATGTGAACCGTAGTGTGCGAGTCCCGAGCGGCTCGCGTGCGAACACACCACTCATTAGCAACCTCTGTAATGGGACAATTTGTTGGCGATTTAAACCGGTAACGTTTGCAATTTGATCTCACGTTACAATCGTATAGAAATGTAATTGTTTATTGTATATTATTCAAGGTGAAACCGGTTGTATCGTATTTTATTGTCACTTAACTGAAGCTTGTACGAATCACTTTCATATTTATAGGGTAGGTGTTACCGGGCGACTTATTTATAGTTGCTTGCGTAACTTCGTGCTTTGTACAATTTAATATTTTAATTTTATAACAAACTTGTGGCTTTATCAACCTTTCTCATAACTTGTTGTATACTAGGTAATATTCATATATAAAAGAAAAGTTGTGAAAAAATCAAACGAAATAATTTAAAAAATAATTGTTTATTTCCTTGGCTACGTACCGAAACATACTTCATATACCACAAAACAAAAATTATAAAAATAACTGATAACAATTTATTAGATATGTTTTAGATGCTATACATTTGTATACGCGTGTAAGATTTGGTAATAGGTGTATTTGGCAATCGAGATTGTGTCGATACAAAACATAGAGGCGGGGCGAGGTGGGCAGTATAGTGGTATTACAAGATTCAAACTTTACTGCGGTTTGAGGTTAGCTGGAAGCGCCAGCCTTCTGAAGCAGGTCCAAGCGGATAGAGCGCCCCAGCTCCGAAATCAAAACCTTTACGTCCCCTGTGAAATTTGAAATTGTATTTCAAGTTTGCATGATACTAAGCAGGTATATTTTGAGCAGCCTCTAGTTTGATATTACAAGCCGCCATAAAGTTTGTGTGTCACTATAGTGATGTGTTTGAAAAGAGAGGCGCAAGGTTCAACGCGAACGAGCACGTAAGTAGGCGAAGGTCGGGCGCGATTGTTGCAGTGACGTCGCGGTGAGATAAGCTGTCGCCGAGGGAGCCGAAGCCGCATCAGTCTCTCGTCCACGCTCTGACGACGCAGTACACACTACTATTACACACAAAGTACACAAACTAGAATTACGGTTACAGAAAAATTACACAAAGTAGATGTAGAAAAGTTATAAGTAGACAATAAATGAAAGCCTTTATGAAATTCTGAATTAAAGTTTTACAATCTGATGAATTTAATGAACAAAGATTATGTTTATTAAGATTAATTACACTTAAAAAAAATACATGCATATAGCTTCATCCCTCCTTGGATATAGTTAAAATAAGAAAGTTCGCTTTAACTACTTGACGATTCATGTATGTTTGGCGATAATTATGAAAAAAATTCGGTCCAAAAGGAATATGAGACATATTTAAGTTCTATTAATTTATTACGTCAGGGACCATTTAGATCTCTATTCTACCGAGCATCGAATCTAGGCGTAAGCTACCCCCTTTTTCTAGGCATCGCGACCGCGACCGTACTTTGTGGTTTACCGAGCTTGTGGTAAAAGGGGCTGGAACTGCGTCACTACAAGATGTTTACTAAAGATAATTGTTTAACTTCGATATGACTGTGCTCTGTTGCACGGAGCTTTATCAATTAAAATGCCTGTTTCGTAACACGCAGAAAACCTAATTGAAATACACAAGGTTTGTCTGAAGTGACTTCCATATTACACCCTAATTCTATAGAAGAGCACAAATTAAATTTTAACAGCGTAATGTAAATCAGCATTCGAAATTAGCACACACGCTTCGATATTGTGGGTATTCTTTTATAAATAGAAATAAATCATCAACTACGAAACATGTAAGCGGCAGTTACATTACTGGCTGCTTAGTATTCTATTGACATAGATGTACACAACAGGTATTAGTCACAACATCTATTATCATTTCTCTAACGCTTCACAGGCCTACTCGCGAATCAACAGTAACTGCGTACTTAATTTGGCCTTCGGGTGGCGTAAGAGAATTAGCTTTTCTTCGTTCTAAAAACTTTCAAAGGTTTCGAAGCGTACGTCATCTCGTAATTTCAATATAGATTGCGAAACATATCGAATATAAATCGCTTAGCTATTTGTAAAATATTCATTTATTCTAAGGCCAAATCAAATGCGAATTTCAAGTAAACAAACCATTACTAGGGTAACCAAATTTTTAAAGCTTTACAAAGAATCATATATTTTTTTAAATATTACATTTATATCATTTAATTTTTTTACAGTGATCTTTTCTTCGTCCAAAACAAAACAGTGTCGTACAAGGGTAAAGGCAGTCTCCACTTTAGCTATATCAGTGTGTACACTCACGAGGTCTGGCCTTAAAGAAATGAATGCATCGTGTACACGTCCAATTGAATGCTAATGACAAAATCGTCACCTTGTCACATTTAAATTCAATTTAATTTCAGCACAACACGATAACGCGTCGTTTAAAACAATTATTAACGTGCTATTTAAAAACTGTAACAGAACAATTTCGTTAAATGTCTAAGAAATAAGAACACGTTTTAATTCGACGATATGAAGGCCTATCAGTAATTATACAAATAGCTTTTTTATACTAGTCGTATCTATTCATACAAATAAAGCGATGTAGCAACACGTAGTACGTAGGTAAGCAATGCTTTATAATATATCATTGATAAAACTGTCTTCATCCGTAGGCCCTTTCCATGCACCTACACACGGCCGCCCGGTTCATACGTAAAATATTTAAATTATTATGTTGAGTAAATTTTCGAATACCTCTGCGCGGGGGAGGCCGTTCACGCAACAACAAACTCTGTACAAACACTGTATATGCATACAAATAAAATAACTGACCACACGGTACGACTTCTACCACTGTTTTAATTACGAATTTTGTAGACACGGTAATTTCACAAGTAGCATTTTAATGCCACCTTAGTTCAACAAGTCTCAGGTGCTTAACGGAACAAAAGCAGCGTTGTATTGCGCCTGTGACTAGTGTCGTGTAATGGAACGTGTTATGACACTGACTTCGTGGTCGTTCTCCTCGACCTAGTCTGCTGGTGAGCCATCTAAGGAGAGCTATCGAGAGCAGGGCCACCGGTCTCTTAAGGGGACATTGTTGGACCTTTTTTACGTTTAATTTTTCTTGCAGTCTAAATATAGGTATTTCGTACGATGACAAAGTTGCAAATTTCACTAAAACACTGTCAGAAACATCACTTATTTTTTATAAAGCAAATGAGCTGGGGATGGCACAGATAGTAATGAAGAGTGCTCACCACCGTCGTTGACGGTGCGCAATGTATTCTTATGACGTCTGATCGTCCAAAGGCACGGATAAATCGGCCTTCATAACCCTAAAAGCTGATTCTTAAACAACGAATAATAATTCAAACACACGAAAACTACAGCGAGCATAGTTTGTTGCGACACCCCGAATCGAATTAATTACCTCGCAACCGAGCGTAGTATTAAAAAAACTGTTTGCGCAACAGCCGATCCGCACCTTGACACAGATAGTGTTCAAACTGTCGTTTTGAATACACAAAAACCGGACGCTACCTTCACTATTTTAAAACGTTTCTTCTGGAACGTTATATTCGTATTTAAATACTATAAAATTATTTATATTATAATCATTAGAGCATACATGACTTTATTTAGTGATGCGTTAGAAATAAAATTAATGGTGGACATCTGTCCATTATCTAGTCGACTAAACGACTAGTAGACTATCTTTCGTCGTCGTTTAGATTGAGAAGTATTGTACATATATACATGAACAGAAGAGGCGAAATGAGATTGATTTAATAATTATTACCTTTTTTAGAGATACACAAAATATTCATTTTCTAAGAAATTATAAAATTTCTTCATTAATTTACAACTTACAGCCATTCTCAGTCATTTAATGATTCTTTAATAAGCGTCTTAGTGTAAATTTCTCATATTAAATCATGGAGAGACTCCGTTTTTTAATGATTCTTCATCATCTTCCTTCTTAACCTACTCCCATAGGGTCTGGCAGCAGGTTTTTGTCCTCCACATAAGGCATCTCAGTAATCACTCCCTTCTTGATCACGCCAACTTGCACGTATTCCATCTATCTCTTTTTAGGTCTACCTCTACCGGTGTACCTTTCCACACTCATAACTAACGTTCTCCTTGTTAAATGCGATTCATCCCTCCTCATAACATGCAGTTATTTAATTATTATGAATACGGTTATTTGTGTTAGAACTTATCTATTGCGAAACCGGAGTCAGATGGTTAGTGTTCGTTTTATTGATGTTGTGACTAGAATTAAGAAAGGTTTATTTATACATCGGCGTGACTAGGATGACCTTAACCTGATGGTAACATACGACCGACATGATAATATGTTATGACCCTAGGGCTTACAATTATATTAGGGACATATTTTGCAATTATATGCATAATTTTGTAATAATTCAGAGAGAAAACAATAAAAGTAGCAACTCTTTCTGATTTAGTCCGGAAAACCCCGAAAAGTGCCCCAATCTGGTTCGACCAAAGGAATGCGGCAGTGCATGGCGGGGCAGTCTGAAACCACCCTTATCTAAAAAATCTTGCGTTACCCGCAGTAAGATTTTCTATTAGACAATGTTTATTACCAATTTACTATAATAGTTTAAAGTTATTTCCAAAAGCTCCATCGTCAAGAAAAGTACAAAAACAATTGCCCATCGAGGGTAGCCAATTTTAAAGATGTTTATGTAACTTTAATTACTAATTAGACTACTTAAAAACGGTAGTCCGGTTAGAAAAATATAGAAAGATAAAAACACGAATGATCTCATAAGAATCTAGTAAGATTATTCGCATTAGTCATATTTTTTTCCTACACCGTAAGAACAACGGATGTTCATATGAAATTCAAAAATCACATTTGTACATGACGGGGATCGAACAGACGTATAGCTTTAGCCCAGTCAAGTCAAACGCTTAAGCGTTTTTAAACAACTGCTGTAACGTCGCTCGATTTCCGATTAGTAAACACGAACATAAATTTATTCTTGTCTTATTTAAAAAGAAAAGAAAAACACAATAAACAGCAAAAAAAACTAATGAAACCATTGCAAAATTCCTAGATTTACGTATAGCACGAAACATTTTCTCGGCAAAATTGTACGAGGTTTGTGCAGTGCCTCTGTCGGGCAGAAAAGTAACTAAGTGACTTGAGAGCATGAACTTGATTTCGGTACGGTGGAGTAAATTTTAATTGCTTTAGAGCATGGTCGAATAAAAAAATTTGTCAATTAAGACTCTTTGGCAAAACCCTTAGTTTCGAAACTTATTGGACGTCGACATATGTGATTTCATTCAGAAAACTTAACGATAAGATTCAAAATATTTTAAATAAATTACTAAAAAATTCCAATTCCACAATTTTTTGAAAACCCAACTTAGGCTACAGAAGATTACAATGGAGACTACATACATAAATATTAAGAACCAGTAAAAACGAAATAGCTCATTTTAGTACTTTTTTTTTTTTTTCGACTAAATACGATCCTAAGCTGGTTAAGTACATCCATTGTATATTTTTCCAAATGTTATTCCGAATGCTGTGGCTGATGCAATAATGTAAGCTAATTGTGACCCACTTATACGCACCTGATCGACTTCATATTCATGACAGATCAATGACACCACCACATCGCAGCTTGTTTTTGTATCCAAAAGCATTTACGAAATTCTCCATTATTCATTCGAGGTTAAATCAGGACAAACACTAAATTTGAATAGCTTTAATATTTCGTCCGCATTGACACATTTAACTGCATTCGATCAAATGTGAATTTGTTTACTTGGTAGCTTTTGCTCGCGACTTTGTTTCAAAATATTTCAATTCGTAAATCCTATAATGAAAAATTGAGTAAATTTCCGCTGCCGACCCTTCCAAGTCACTAACGGGCTAACGCTTATGGTATAGTGAGGCGTAAATATTTTGTTAATGCTTGAATAAATTAATAATATTAAACAAGCTTATGTTACTTCTGCAAACATCAGCCTTTCATTCAAACTTCAACCAAAATCACAAACTTTGTGACTGAAGCACAAAAAGTCCAAAGAATAAGACTCCAATTTATTTAACAAGTCTTTGTTTAAACATAGGTTTATACATTTTTTTTATTCTGACCAGCGTTATAAAAATAAACATTGCGTGAAACGTGTGCGTATTAAGTTTTGGTAATGGCAAAAGTATAGTAATTTAAATAAAGAAAATCGTCTTATTTACAATTTATGAAAATTTTAGGATACAATTTTCAAAACAAAACCATTCGTATTCACGAAGCTTGTTTGTAAATTATTGATGAAATATTATAGCTGTGTCTGAACTTACCAGGAAATGGTGGACTACATTATTTTAAAAAAATTATATCTTGTCAAACACAATTGAGTTTTAAATTAAACGCAACTAATGTCACTAGTGTCAACAACAGTAAGCTTTGTTTGCAATAAATATACGCGAGGCGTCTTGTTTATAATGAAATTTAATACAATCATATGGGATGTAAATGTGATTTTCGATTTTTCCAATTTTCATATATACATCATTTGCCCCTTCTTTTAAAAAAAAACACAATTTACCCAACGTTTTTAAGGAATACATCATGAGGAAACCTGCACATATCGGCGAGGAATTTCAAAGATACGTGTGAAGTCAACCAACCCGCACTTGGCCAACGTGATTGGCTATGGCCTAGTCACCCTAACTTAGGGTAGGCTGCGAGCCCCTCTGGTGATGATGATGATATGAGATATACAAACGGCAAGATCGTCGTAACTACTTCACATAAATACATGCACTGTAAGTATATAACAATAAACTATGAATGCGTTGGGTAAGTGTAAGTTGACCTGTTAATTGATATACGATAGTTTGTTTACATTTGATAAGCAAGGTCGTTTATTGACTTCATAATTTTGCTTAGGTGCATTGTTTATAATACATTATGTAACTATTTTATGTTTACATTTAAAGATAATTTCCTTTGTTGTGCATTTTAGCGCATCGTTAACATCATTAACACTAGCTTATCCCGTGCGGATTCATCCGCATGAAATTATAAAAACTTTAGTTTATTGTTTACATTTGTCAAATTCTTAATTGCAAATGTCAAAATGACAACACATGATGACAAAGCATGCCAACCTTGCTTCCTTGATGTTGGCAGCAACTTATGGTCTCTTTCCCACATTAGGGTTTTTATCCAAAATATTTACCCCCTAAGTCTAATGGCGTGAAAATATCTAGCCTAAAGCGTGACGTAAGTGTAGGGCTTTTTATTAAAAAAAGAAATATTCAAAAATATGCTGTAATTGCTGAGATCTTAGGCAACAAAGAAGTGTGTGTTTACACTTTATAGATATGATAGATGATAGATACATATCGATATTTGATTTATATAAGTATAAAAGTATATTAACGGCTATACAATCGAATCATATATTTATTTCTCAATAAATGAAATAGAATTAATATTACAGGATTATATAAACCGTGGCTTCCAGGAAAGGAATACGTCAACGCAACGGTGCCACTGTAGAGAAAACGTGAACGCAAAAATCCTGAACTGTTTATTTCTTCACCATTAATACTTGTGTTTACAATTATATTTGGGTTAAACATTATATATCAAATTTATGTTTGAATGGATAAGATACGGATATAATAAGATGGATTCAATGTATATTAAAATTTGCATTTATACGGTTACCTAAAGATTATTTTTGAGTCAAACAATACAATTTTAAATATTAAATCAGGAGTTTATCAGGGTTCAAATAAATGGAATGGATAAAGTTAAGAATGTGTACATTAGAGGAAGTTTGAAAGTAGCGCCAGTGGTGGAGAAATTGAGAAGCAAAAGGTTAGCGTGGTATGGACATGTTATGCGACGAAACGATGGGGACATAAACCAGAAAGTGTTAAGATTGAATGTGGATGGCTACAACGGAAAAGGAAGACCGAAGAAAGTATGGATGGATTGTGTGAAAGAGGATATGCTTAAGAAAGGAGTGGATTTAGATATGACGGCGCATAGATATGTATGGAAGAGCAGCACATACTGTGCCGACCCTCCGTAAGGGATAAGGGCAAGTGGATGATGAGTTTATCAGGGTTCATCTGATAAAGGAACTCACATAAAAACCTAACACGTGTAGTTATGCCAACCTTATATACATCAACTAAACATATTTTGCAACCATCGATAAGAAATACTATGTTCGTTGTTTTGTACTTACACGAAAACGCGCAGTCACATGCGTTGCCTTTTTCAAACATTGAAATTATAGGGTTTAATTAGTTACATAACATTGAATTATAGCGAAAACGAGTCCCTTGTTACTTATTGAATTAATAAAGAAGTAACATAGTCAATTAAAAAGTTAAATTGACGAAACCTTATAATCTCTTGAATTTTTTTGGTAAACTAATTACCAATCACGTTTAGAAAATTATGTGTACTTGTAAGTTGGTAGTTTGTTTCAAGCAAGTATTAATGATTAACGTTTTGACAGTTTAACTTTTTTAATTAACAAAATTTGTATGGCTGCGCAGAGCCTGTCGTCATGGTAGTTATGAGTTGTCCTCGGTTTATTTGTCTCTCCCTCCCTCTCTCTCTCTCTTCCTAACCTGTATCCATATGGTAGTGGGGTCATCTCTTCATATCTATTTCCTCTGACGTCCTATTTTACCTTCGACATCTTTATTCGAAAGTTGGCACTCGCACATGTCTCTTAGCATCAAATGTTTCGACCTTGTCTTTAGTCTGCCCGTAACTCTTCGACCGGGAAGAGAAAGCTGTAGTGCCAAATTACCTATGTTGTCCGGTTGCCTTCTTCTCACATGCCCATACCATCGCAGTCAACTGTCCTGTTTGTTGTTGGTTATGTCGCACACCAAGGATGCTTCGCATGTACTCTTGGTGAATTTTGTCGAGCCTGGTTACGACTCGCATCGTAACCACACAGTAGGACGTTCTTTTAAGTGACTGCCACTCGCTTTATTCGTCTATAAATCATTAATTTTAAACAGTTTTCTTTTCCTTATTGGTCAATCAGTTAATTTTAGCAACTAACTGGGAGGCACCCAGTGGTTTTAAGTACAAAACTTATGACGCCTAAATCGCAAAATGAGAAGTGTAACAGCTAATTTATTTTGGTCGTATTTCGTGTAGTTTTTTTTTATATCAGTCTGTCCACAATGCCGCATTTGTTCTGGGTAAAACCTGGACCAACTAGGCTGATTTTTACGGGATTTCCATGGGATAGTAACTAATACATACGCGAATATTTTCCCTTATTTTTTACATATTTCCTGGCAATGTAGCGGGTAGCGGGTAAGCATTCAAATGGGTAACAAATTAAAAAAAATACTCTGCTTCTTAACTGCTTACTCAAGACACAACATTTCTTGTTATTTAAGAACACAAATTTCTTACTGGTTACTTGTTTACGTAAACGAAGAGATTTTAAATTTTCCTAGTGGCGCTACATTGTATTATTCCTGCAAATTTACACGCAAGTTCTAAACATCCTAGTACTTGGGTGGCCTATAATTAGGGACGGCAGCGCCGGATGTATAATCCTTTATAAAACGTATCCTATTACTGTTATAATTTGTACGGTTTATGATAAAATGTTGCATGCTGCTTTTGTTTATTAGAAGGAACTATATATAAAGGGTTAGTCATTTTTCAAATGCTGAATGTATCTACAGATAGTTAGGCGACCTCAAACACCTTGGTCAAATAAAAGGGATTTTACATGTCACCTAGATGTTAACAACAATTTTCGAATACTATCTATAGCAATATATCTTCTTCTTCCTTAGCTCTACAGCCCTATGTGGGCTTTGGCTTGGTCAAGCAATTTTTACCACTTCGGTGTATTAATGGTCACCGATTTCCAATTTATTGTGCCAACATTCTTTTTCCATAGTAATAGATACTGTCACGTAAACAAAATAACATATTTAAAGGAAACGGCCCCTATCGTTGTTAGAACCCAACCATATTTTCATCACATTCCGATTACTGATTAAGTAACATTTAGAGAAACATACAAATCAGCATTTATAAAAAAGTTTGAATATGAAAGATACAACTGCGTATACATTTATTATCGTCAGCATATTTTCGAAAAAAATCCCATTCCCAGTACAGTCTGCTAGCATAGTACAAAAAAGTTAAATAGAACGGTTGGAAAGTCTTTAAATGCCTTGTTGAAATTTTAAAACAAGTTGTTATAACATTATATCGTAAATGTAACATTATTTTCCGTTTAATTGTTCACTTTTACAATTTTATTATGAAGTGACTTTGCTAGAGTTCGCAACAAATCGTGATTTTGAAAACATTTTACAAATGTTTTATTAAAAATGTTTTCAAACATTCCCTATACACAGCAGTTGTTTGCAGTACCATGCTCATGTTGAAGTAGTTGTTTAACTAAACCAAATATAAACTACGAAAATTATAAAATATAACTAAGTATAAAACATAGTCAGATAATTAAAAGGTTTATCCCTAAAGATATCTTAAGGAACTTTATAATGACATTGTTACCAATATCAAATTAAACTAAAAATAAATAATTTTATGTAAATTATGAGCTACTAGCTTTCACCCGCGATTCCGTCCGCGTGGAATTAATAAATAGAAAAGTAAATAGTCTATGTGTCCTTCCAGGCTATCCCCTATATCTGTGTCAACTTTCATCGAAAACCGTAAAGCCGTTTAGGCTAAAAAACACTAACAAACATCCATCCATATATCTAAGAAGTAAGAAGTAAGATGGAATTTTGTATTAAAAAATTATGTAAATATCGGTCAAAGACCTACTACCCGATCACATGCAAAAAAAATCGATTCATCATCATCTCCCCTGCCTTATCCTACTCCCGTAGGGTCGGCGCACCGGGTTTTCGTCCTCCAAGCATTCTATCATCCGTCACCTCAGTCATCACTCCCTTCTTGATCATGTCACCTTTCACGCAATCCATCCATCTCTTTCTAGCTCTACCTCTACCGATGTACCCCTCCACATTCATAACTAACATCCTTCTTGTTACATGCGATTCATCCCTTCTCATAACATGCCCATACCACTCTAACCTTTTACTCCTTATTTTCTCAACCACTGGGGCTACTCTCAAACTTCCTCTAAGATACTCATTTCGTATCTTATCCTTTAATCTAAAAAATCGATTGAAAAACCAAAATTTTCTATGATAATTGACCTAAACTATACAAATGGATGTGTGCATTTGTGATTACGATTTCTAATTTGTTCCAAAACGATACTTTCATTGACATAACGATAAAATCAAGTGCCAATTCGTAAGTGACAAATATTTAACTAACGATCAATTTCAAGTTTTCATTTATTTAGTACTTTACATTCAAAGTATTTGTTCAGAAAACTATTATAACATTTATTTCATAGCAACATGTATCGTAACAAGTGATTCAGATATGACGGCTGATAGATGTATGGAAGAGCAGCACATACTGTGCTGACCCTCCGTAAGGGATAAGGGCAAGTGGATGATCATGATGATGTATCGTAATAAGTCGTTATGGTATATCAAACAAAAGCCTTATAAAAATATCCTTTCAGTAAATATTATGGGTTGGAAAAAATAATTATCGGTTGTTTTTACACATGCCTTTCAATTTCTTGATCATACCATGTCATACATCATTGTCTTATAAAAAAACTATGAGTACAATATGTTTAAAAAGTAGCTAATTACATTATCAACATCAGCAAAAAAAAATATTACGTAATTTCGTTTGATGCAAGCAAATTTTTAAGCCAAGACGCGTGTAGCCAACCAACAAAGGGTTTGATTGCTCAAAAGAAAAAGTTTCAAGGGGGTTGCTTATTGAATTTCGCAACTGTTGGAAACTTTCACTAATTAACGGTACCCGGTAAGTACTGTAGACGTACTTTTCGTGCGCAATATCACATGTTTGTTTTTAATTATTTTTTCGGTCACGTTTTCATGATTTTGCAATTAACCCTTTTGCATTTTGGAGGTTTCAACGAACGCATTGTTTAATTTCAACATATTATTTTGTCGTTGGGCTCTTTGTTTTCAATATAAGATGTATTTTTAGTCGGTTTCGAAATTTCACGTTGCAGTTAAATTAGGAAATTTTCAGCGATAAAAGTATGTCGCAGTAGCCGGCGGCGGAATGTATATCAGGTCACCGCGCCTGGGCCAACCGTCATCCGAATTATTTTTATTGGCCCCTGTACGAATGTGGACAGAGTGAACGAAAATAAAATATAACACTGCCTTCAACCTTTTATACTACGATAGTCTTATTAAAAATATATAACAAAGTCTAAGTACTACTGAACAGTCAAAGTACAAAAGTGATAAAAGTGCTATTAGTGAAATTAGAACCAGAATTCAATATTAAAATTTTAAGAGAAATACGAGTTATTTTTTTGACCGACTTCCCAAAAGAAGGAGGTACTCAATTCGTCTGTATGTTTCTTATTTTTATTTTTTTTACAATGAATAAGCCAGTCCTTGACCACGTTCCAACCTGATGTTATGTTGTGATTAGTGGAAGCCGAGAGATACGCACTAACGTTCTCGTGTAACCGCTAATCAAAAGGTACAATAAAACCTTATAAAACAAGCCTCATATGTATAAATATTAGGTTTCCATTAATGTAATATGGAGAGGAATAATCAGTGAATTGTAAGTCAAAAGATTTATCGCACAGATAAGATATAGTCGAACGAGTTGTAATATCTTGATCGTAGAGAAGTCGGGGCCGACTTGGTCACATATAAACTAGGTTAAATGAAATTCGTTTTGTTCCACCACATGACTAATGGCCTAACTAACAATGCATTCAAAAATTATATCCACTTATATTTATATTCTTTTAAAACATTTACGCCAGTTACTACGTGTTGGAAATTATTGTCTCTAGCTTTTGACCGCGACTTTGTCAGCACGGAAATAAAAAAACCTTACTCGGTAACCTATGTTCTTTCACACTTTTATGTCGGTGTCAAAGTTTATCAACATCGGTAATGTTATTTTAGAGATACGCAGAAGCATCCGTCCATCCAAACTTTCCAATTTATGTTTTGTGCCAAAAAGGGATGACAATGATTGTGAAATGTGTCGAGTGGAACCCCACAATATGAATATAGTATTTTAGTATTCGTTAGTTGGCTTAGTTAATGAGAAGTGCGCCCAACTGTGTTGTCTGTGTGCGACTGTACTCGTGCATAGAGGCGTTCGCGGGCGCTTCAAGCGGTTGCCACTCTGCCGGCTAAGTAGGTTAGTGGGTCAGAGACGAGGTCCGCTGATAAACTAAACATTGTTTTTCTATATAAACAAGAGTTATTACATAACTGCATACAATCCTGAATTTTACTGAAAACAAATGCAAATCAATTTTATTTTTTACAAATTCTAATTACATAACCTTTACAAATACCTTAATTTAGGATCATGAATTCTAGAAAACAATTGAAAATGATATCGTAAAATGAAATAATGTGACTGGAATAAAATTGTGAATGGAATTCTAAACGCACAAATGTGCATTGGGCACGCAAGTATATGAATAAGGAAAGACAGGCAAGGAAACTTTATAATGCAAAAGCGCGCATAAAAGATGTCCCAGACAAATGTAGGTTAGATTAGGGCGATATTAAGAATACAAAATTAGTTTCAGTTGAGGACATTTATTACGTAGCTAGTTTAGTAAAATTATATTTGATGCTGACAAAGATGTCACAGAACATACATTTACAGCTCTTTTAAACCTACCACTACCACTACCTCGACATGTGTATTAGTGCCCATTGTTATCCCATTCATTCTCATTGACACAAGAGTAGGGCAGATTAAATTTTGCCTATATTACTGAGATAATGAGCCATTGTAATAGTGAATTTTAGAAATGATCTAGCAATTTTTGATTTTATTTGTTACACCCAAAACTACAAAACTTTTTAATATATTATTCTGCAATAAGACAAATTGCTGTCCGGTAGGCATCCTAAGTGGGCAGTAAACCTAATTCTTTGACTGTATTCATACTTTCAATGTTATCAAAGTAAACGTGTTTACAAGCTGATTGGTGTACTCAAATCCTTTAACATAAGATGTTCGGAGTGCATCGATAGGGTCGAGCACTTGGTAAACACTGACATTGCGTGGCAAGTTATTTTATTCTATATTAACGGAGTGGAACGCACCAACCTTGCTCTACATTAGTGATTACAATTAAATAAAAATACGTCGAGGTATAAAGTGTTTTTACTAAATTTTTTTTCTTTATAAAATGACACCACCGCTAATTGAAGGTTACATTTCTAATTGCAACCAAATACTCGTTTTTGCTAAATCTTTAGTAACGAATATGTTGCAAAGTCTTCCACATAAAATGCACCTTTTTTGCCAAATGTATAGCATTTCATTAAACTAAAAAAAAAAATACGTCGGCGGCTCAAGGGTTTAAGCATTTGCCTTGTAATCTACAGTCCTTGGGTTCTAATCCCGCCATGTACCAATGTGATTATCAAATTTCATATGTTAATAATTTAGCCGACGTTCTTACGGCGAAGAAATTCAAAGATATGTGTAAAGTCAACTGAGTTGATTATGGCCTAGTCACCTCTAACTTAGGAAAGCCCCTCGGTGGGGATGCGAGCTGGTGATGAATCAAAACATAAGGTTGTAAGGCAAAAGTGTGAGTGTTCATTATTGTTACGTTTAAAATCAAATTTGTACATATTTGAATGTATTTGGAAACTATTATTATTATAATTATTTTGGAACAAATTTCTTTGTTTCTGGTAACATCCATTTGACTCAAATAATTATTGTAAAACATAGATTCAAATTTAAAACAAACGATGGTAGTTTAATAAAAATAGATAATAATTTTGTCTTCATAGTTATTTAAATATTTTAAGATCTGCTTAAAATTTTAAACAACCCTCATCAATAACATTTTGTATAAAATATTTGGATATTCGCTTATTTGTAGAACTCATTAAATGTATAATCGTCAACTTATTAAACAGAGATGGTCTATCTCTTAATGTTAACTATAATGACAACTAAAAATTAGTTTTCTTCTTCGATTTCTGATCTCAAATAATTTACAAAATCATGCTACTATTCTTGCTAATATCATAAATGCGATAGTTTAGATAGATGGATGTATGCTTGTTAGAGTTCATAGCGTAAACTGTCGAACATATCTGTATGAAATTTAATATAGATGTAGAGGATAGTAGGAGTACAGTGGTAGAGCCCGCTTTAACATCTTCGCACGAATGGGTCGGCTCGCCCGATGAAATACCACAACCACACCAAACAGGGGTGAAGTGGGAGTAATTCCGCGTTTCGTCTGATGAGTGAGCTGCCGAAGGACCAGTCTTGGTCCCTTTTCTTTCCCACCCTTTTTTCATAAGAATGGGATGGAAAGGGAACGTGGATTTGACGGTGGAGAAGAAGCACAGAGAGGGGAAAATGTCCTTTTTATGTGAATCTCCTCCTCCGTCGATTATTACTTAGGTGGGCAACGCATCGGCTATTGCGAATGTCCATAGGGCAGCGCTCGCATACCCATTTTGGCGGATTCAGGTGGCCGTTTGCTCGTTTGTCACCTTATGTTATGAAAAAAAAAACATAGGCTCCTTACTTTTGTTTTTATATACCACGATTATTGTTAAAGAATGGTTAACAATTTATTTACCTGTATAAATATGCAACGAGACATGTAATTTAAATCTAACAACTTATTCTGTATTAAAGCTTCGAATACGTCAAAATGGTTATTATTGAAAGTAGTACAAACTAAACTATACACCACGTACTGACAATTTTCACATGAAAGGGGAGACAATTGAAGTAATAATCTCAATGGACACACGTGATTATTACTTGGACACAACTATCTGAGGCCATTATAAATATTGTTACGCTTGGCAGACTAACAATTGTTTATAATAATAACCGGGAAAGGGACTTACATATTCCATATTTAATAGCATTATTATTGCATAGTGCGGTCATAAGTAGTACTTTATGTTATAAACTAGCGGTCTCCCGCGACTGCATCCGCGTGGAATTAAAAAAGTAGCCTATGTTCATTCAGACTATCCACTACATTTATGCCAAATTTTAATGAGATGCGATCGACATTTTAGGCTACAAGGTCTAAGAAACATCCATCCATACATCTAAACTTTCGCATTTATATACGAGGAAGAATATGAAATAAGATAAGATATGAAGTAACAAGCGAGATGTCCAAAAATTTTAATTCTCGTCATCACAATATTTAAGTTAAATAATTTTAATTTTATAAGTTCATTCCCCTTCAGATAAGGAGTGTCATAGGTGTTTGTCAACTTGTATAAGATGTTACAAACTGTTGCAATTGATTTTATTGCATTTTAGGTGTTAGATACGCTCGTTATAAGAAACCACAAGCCAGCGCTAACAAGTATCTGAAGTTACGACGCGACAGAAGTTTGCGATCGCAAATCTCCTGATGCAGAATTTGTCTACTGAAGCAGAATAATAAACCACATCAAAACTTATAAGTAGCGAGGTCTGCAAATTGAATTATTATATGGAAATCCGATTTAAACTTATAATTTTTATATTCCTTTAAATCAATTTTTCTGGATACATTTACACTTTTCCCATTAAAATATCAATTTAAAATATATTTATCCATGGCAAAACTAGTCAATTTATTAAATGTCAATTTAATTTGGTTCTTTATACTTTTTACCTAGGGTACAAACGGTCGTAGTACACGATTTGCCACATATGTAATACTGCTCGCATCTCTGGGCCGGAGCTCCTAAATACCAGCTTCATCCTTTTGACCGCATGCGGCGGCGTGTCACTCGAATCGTCAACAACCGGAGTCTTACCAAAAGGAAATTCCGCTGCCCTATCCCCCTTACCAAAACCAGCTTTGCGCAAAGGCACTATAATTTTCTTGCACCTTGGATTTACAACCAGCTATTGGCACAGAGTGATACAAATTTTGGAATGTTGAGTTGTTTCAAATTCAAAAAGTATGTTATAAAATGGTTAATATCACTTGATTATGATTGCACTGAAAATCTTTTCAAAATAATGCAATAAAACATTTATATTTGTTTGAAAAATAATGTTGCACTACAGTAAACATTAGTAATATTAAAAAAACACTCAAAACTAAATACACACACTCACACATATGTTTCACACACACACACACACGCACTTACTCACGCACGTACTCGGATTCATACACACACACACATGCAATATCACATACTAAATTAATTGTAATATATAATATTATATTTTTCTTTGTTAGGTAGCATCTTACTCTTAAATATGATAATTGATAAGAGAAGGTCCTGTCTCCTGAAACACAGTTGTTGTAATTAGTTCAGGAGACAGAGCCCCAATAGATTTTGTAAAAATATTTTTTGTCTAATAAAGAGTTTTATTAAGAGGGTATTTTTTTATTAATTTTTTTCACCGATCAGCTTGACTCATTGGCACTGCGAAGGGACGTCAGTTACCTTTGCATATTCTATCGCCTCTACTATAATTGTTTGTAACCATACCGCTAAGTTCCGTCATCGCACGAGTCGACAGAGTGCCAAATATCATCGTTACTACCTCGGAGGTTTGCCATTTGAATTGTATTCAGTGAGATGATCGTATTGCTTGTAAATTGTGTTATTTTACATTTCACAATTTATTTGGTTCACCATGAGAGATGATCAATATGTTTAAAATACGTTTATATAAATAAATTTGCAACGAATCGGTTTGAGAAAGAGTTGAGAACGATTGTTATTTTATATCATACATATTAATTTAGACTGCTTCGTGTCGCAACAAAGTTTTGACTTTTAAATTCAGTTGTTCTTAGAAAACAATGTCCGCTATAACTAGGGCTACCATCTTTTAAATAATGTAGTCTCGAACATTGGTGACACAAACAACTCAACACTTGACTGATAAAAAAGCGAAAATCGAGTTACATTTAACAACATCTATTCTTTATCATTAGAAAGAAGATGCGTCATCCAAAGACTTCGCATACCAGATTGACCCGATAAAAATTAATTTAATCCTGACGAGGCGGCGGTAGCAGCCATAGTTACCTATTTCTATCTTCGTTCTCTATGGCAGCGTAGAGCAAACGCCGAGTTACTTATTTAGAACACGTTAAACATTGCATTAAGAAAGTTTATAAACAAATAAGTTGTTATTAGTTTGGGTCACGTTGTTTCAGATTCTAGACATGTAAAAAGGTCGTGTAACTTGTACCGAAATAGAACAATAGTCAAATTTAACCTTTCTTTATAACTCTAACATTGAAATCTACCATACTAACCATACTTAATACTATCTTTCAAACAGATGCGAACGTTTAGATAGATGGACGTTTGTTACGTAATATTCAAAACGGCTTAATGGATATCGATTAAATTTGGCATATAAAGTGTAGTCTGGAACGCTAAGTATTTTTAAAAGCTAGTGTCCTCATAGATTAATAGTGTGACAAAACGTATGCAACTAGAAGGCAAACTATTTAAGTCTAATTTATTCTAAATAAATAACTATGGGCTCGCGCTTTAAAAATGGATTTTCAGTTTTAAAACATACCATTACATGGTAGACATAAAAATAATTAGATGATATAATAACCCGCTATTATTGCAGTACACTATTATTGAACACACAAAAGTGTACTTCCCATTAAATTACTGTGGTACAATCCAAGTTCGCTTCGCTTGAACGCATGCACTTGAAGTCAAGACATCAGCACATATGGATATGCATTAAAACTGATGACATTTGAAACGAATTTATTTCATATCTCTTATCCTAAGTTTAGGAGAAATTGTAATGTGAAATGTCTATTAACTACTTAGTTTTGACAAGTAAAAGTAGTTTGAAAAGAAAAACATGACATGACAGTACAAAAAGGATCTTGGTAAACTTTTTTTGACGTTTCGACGTTGACTGAGGTACGCTCGTGAGCTGTCATAATTTAGTTTAACTTATGCCCACCGGGTCTAATAGCCTTATTTGTCTTATCTTGGATCCCTTTACATATTTATCAATGAAATAAAAAGCGTGCGTTTTTTTCTTACTAACTCTAAAAGCGATTCATTTAAAAGTCAAACAATACGGGGGACAATAAACTATGATTTAGTTGCGGCAGGTAAATTGACCCCTCCGCAACTTAATATTTATAACATGACAATATTATTTAAAGCGAAACAACAAACCTGTGGAATTATAACGGATATTGAATATATCAATGACCTTTCTTGGGTTCATTGATATCACGCAGGTGACAAATTGACTTAAAGACTTTTTTCTTCTACGTCTATCAGACCCGCTGACAGATTTTTTTATCGATAACAGAGACATACGACAAGAGTTTAGTAATAGCAGATGCAGTCGTGACTTGCATACCAGTTGACAGACACGACAGCATGCTGCACTGTAATAAGTCATCATTGACCATTATAAGTAGACAGACTACAAAGTTGTATTTTGTGCTCATTTGATTTTGCCCATCTTAGAGCTGACTGTGCCTTTTGTGGCGGTGATAAGAATTGGAACTAATTATCGAGATAGAATTAACTGTCATTAACGTCTACAGGCGCAATTAATCTGAAAGATGCATATATCATTTCCAAACAAAGACTGATCCATTTAAACGATACCTACCGGTACCTGGATTAAACAGTAACGCGAAAGACTAGCATTGTAGAGGTAGCTAAATGAAAAGCATGTTTTTGCGCCGTTTAGACCCCCACAGTATAGACTTTTAATATGATAATAGATATTACCTGATAGTTTAGTTGGTCTCTTGATCAATATGAACGAGTATGGAGGTGCGTACATTACACCGATTTTTTTTTTACAACCCGACCCGATCAAACTATCGACTGATTAAGTCTTTCAAGTGCTGCAAGTCTAGCTACAAAATGGTTTGTTAGAGCAAACTAAATCCACGACGAGGTTGTATCAAAAGTTGCTTCAGTTCCGGCACGCTTTGTGTCTCAATGCCACAGGGCTAAAACCCGCCGGCATCCGCGTCACGTCTACCGAATCTGCCTCCGACGTCGCATCGTGCATGACTTTTTTCGCATCTTACATCCTTTGTTAGATCATAACAAATATTACGATATTTCTTAACTCGCCTTGTTTTAGGTAAATATTGCTGCAGTAAGTGGAAATAAATAAAAGTGCACACAATGGTACAATGTTTACACGACTACGGAAACATTAAATTTCATCATGAACGAACAAAGGAATCGGCGCGCGATGCAACGCTAAATAAATTTCAATTTATCACAGTATTTATACACCGCCGACGCGTTCTCCTTAGACTGGCAGACAAAGTGACTTCTATATTAATATTTGGGATAAAAACAAAGATAAAACTAACAAACAGTAGCGAATGCATAATTTTCCTCGATATTGTGATAAGTAAAAAGATTAAATACGTTCAGCGCGTTGCGGGAAGTATTTCCCCGTATTTGAGCTGCAGCGTGTGCGGTAGCTATCACTTAGTACCCCTGGTGGTTGGTTTGATAAATTTCGTTCCCATACAATAACAAGAGATAAATTTATTCCTGACTAGCTGTAGGACGCGACTTCGTCCACGAAATATTAAAGTATAATAAGTAGACTTTAATATGCCCGCCTATGTAAAGTACCCTTTAGTGAAAGTCTGGTAGAAATCAGCCCAGCCGTTTCTGAGATTAGTGGGAACAAACACGGCTTGCGGACAGACAGGGAGACAGATAAAGACACAGACAAAAACATGCGATTTTCGTTATTGGCAACGCAAATACATCTTCCAGAAATCTGGAATTTTTCTTTTGATATTACAAACAATATGTATGGATACAGATATCCGTATAACTTTCAGTTCAATTGGCACACTGAACGTGTTATATAAAGACATTATAAAAAAATGTAATTGTTTCCACGATCGCTGCGGGATGACTGAAGTGTTGCCGAGTGAAAAATCTAGAAAAACATATCGATCTGTCAATCAAAATTAAAAAGCCCGATTGTTTAGAATAATAAAATCGCTAACATACATTAGTAGACAAAATTATTAATGTGTATTAAAAATGTATAAACAATTCGAACCAGACACAACAATGTAGATAAGGAAGCTATCGTCGCTGCGACTACTATTACACCTAGGTACGCGTTTAAACATTGTTGTATTAAAAGCGTGCCTACTTTGTTTTGATTAATAATTGCTTGTAGACCACATTGCCTTTGTTTATGTTACATGTTTGTTATAGGTATTTTTGTAACTTGATTTATTGTACAACACTTGGAATTGCTATTTAGGTAATGCAGCGTAAGTTAAAAACTTTAGTGAAAAAGTAGATTTGCATGTATCGTTTTACTATCTTTTCATTCTTGTAAATATACTTCGATAGTTAACCCTTTCACGCTCAAGGGAAAAAATTAACCCTTCTACAAAAATCGTTATCGATTATTAAATTATTATTGAATCGATATTTTATTACTATATTAAATTATTCAAAATCTATACACTCTGCTGTGTTTTTCTTGTGATATTCTCTTACTTTACACCCAAAATAGTTAAAACATCGTGTTGTATTCGCATATTTAGTCTCGGCCATCTTATTGTCCTGTAAGGGTCAAGAAATCTTTTGGTTTGGAATCCAAAACCGTGCAAAACATATTATCAACGTAAAACAGTGATAACAATACATTTCCAATATGTGTTTTGCAGTGGAAACGCGCGGTTAACCCGTTGTGCGTACCGTCAAGTGGACTGTACGCAGAACGGGTTCAAGTAGAGCTTGAAATAGACTTAATAAAACGCATAAATCTTACATTAGGGTCAATATGAAATTGGACAGTTTCCAACATTTTCAATATGTAACCACCAAACATTTAACCTGACTATTTAACGCAAATCATTAGGAATACGTAAAATGATGTTAAAATCCAATCCATATTAATATAATAAATCGTAAACACATACTACTTTGTGGCGTAAAATGTCGGCAATCACAGCATATTTTTTAAAAAGACTTTCTTTAATAAAAAGCCCTCCAATAACGACACGTCTTAGGCTATATATTTTCACGCTATTAAACTTAGGGGAAAAATAAAAGGAAAAATATACCTTCATGTGGGAAAGGGACCATTAACTACAAGCAGCCAACATTAAGGAATTAATAATAAACTAAAGTTTTTATAATTTCACGCTAATGAATCCGCACGGGAACTGCTAGAAATTAATATAAGGGAATGTTTGTTTTTGCAAAAGTTGTAGAGTCTAAAAGGAGAGACGATTAGCACTCCTCGTGACAAAGAATGGAAAAGTTGTAGATTCGAGGCTTTTTACTGTTTTATAAAAATTTAACTGAGTCAATCTACATTTAGGCCTCATGTAATTAAAATACTCTTGTATAGAAACATAAATACACTATGCTAATATTAAAAGAACTAAGTTATGTGTTAACTACTAGGTTAACTACGTTAACCCTTAGTTCGATAGTGTCCAGTGTGACGAATAACTAATTTAAAAAATCTACTGAACTAGGTCAAAGAAAAATAGGTGAGATTTTAATTTTAGTCTGTTGGTAACAGATATTTTTTTTGCGATACAATAAACTCCCGTCGAATTAAGGGATAGATAGTTTTATTTATATTAGTTTCAGTAATAAATTCATCTTTATACAAATAAAAAATAATTTAAACGTAACGTGTCTATGACTAAAAGCGTTTCAATTATTACATAAAACTATGTCGCGATATACATAAAATAACCGGCCCGACAGTAAGATTACAAACAGAAAACAATTCGGCCTACATAGTGATAATGTTCCGAATATTCGCGCAACTAAGTTTATCACACGGACATCTATCGCAGTGAACATTAAACACGCGTACGAGTTGATAGCTGATACACACTAAAGCAACCTCACGCTACGTCCAGGACGATTACTTAATACGGTGTAACAAGCGCGTAGAACCTCACTGCAGTGCGGCCGCAGCCGAGCAAACGTGCCCTACTGACACCGAACGAAATCAAAAAGCGACGCCGCCCGGCACACCATACGCATACAAAATTACAAAACAGCTTCAGCCATTGACTACAGTGTAAACTCTCATTCACTGTTTGCTACTTCATCGTATATTTAACTTATCATTTCATTTGGAACCGCGCACCGCTGCTGCTACGTCTATTCCACGAAAAAAAAACCTAAAAAAACCCTGTTTCACACAGCTCATTCCATCGTAGGATAGCGCGAAAAGCAATTGCGACGTTGCCGCACCGTGCAACCGAGCGTACGAGCAGGTAGCCTGTAGCCTCTACAATGCATACGCACAACAATGTAAATGTAATTATTATACAACCACTTGTCTCTTTTTTCAGACACACTTTTAAACGTTTCCCCGGTGCCTCATGTCCCCCATCTTAATTACAATAAGAAAAATTACAATGTTCAACTATCCGACTGGTTAGACTCTGTTAAGGTAAAATCCAACTTGAATCTCTTGTGACTAATATAATACAATTACTACTTATAAATTGACTTATATCAGCTATTATGAAAATAGCATACGTTAATTGTCGGCATATATTAAAACACGTTAATTATAGCTTCAAGACTTAATGTATAAGTACATACCGCTAGTAGGATTCACATAGGAAATTTTCAGCTCCGTCTCAATGCTTTCAGTTGACTTTGTATCTACACAAGTTATTTCATATTCTGGAACTTCCATGGCGATTTCGTTCTTTGCCTGGCTACTGGAGGCAACCAGACCCTGCGCAACACTCATTTTCGGAGAATCTTCGTGCATTATTTACGGAAGGTCAAACGGAATTGCTAAATTATTTAGCTCGAGAAATTATGAATTTTCGTTAAGGCGCAAAATTCATGATTCAGTCTTAGATATTTTCTGATAATATGTACAATACCTTAAAAAACACAAAATGTAGGTCTCTAGGCCACTTCACTTACACTGATATTCCGACATAACTCGGGTTCAGTGGAACTACTGTACTCATGACTGACATTGAAATAAGTCGGTAAAGGGCAACGAGAAATTAACCCAATTCGAGAAAAGTGTGTCATGGCCTAATTTTCACAAAAAAAATGTAAAACGTGAATAATCATAGTTTTTAATGCATTTGCGCTTTTTTACTAGTGTATTTTTTAGAGGTATAGCAAAAAAAAATTATAAAGTACTATTATCGTCTTTATTCCGAAACATTCAACACAACCTTAAAAATTCATGTAAATGATGCAAAATGACTACATTTGCTCATGAATACGCTGTGTTGTGTAATAAATGACCGTTTCTGTTGCACAATCCTTTCACAAGGGCTTCAAATGTAGGTCAATCTGCATGAGTATTATTGCAAAGTAGTTTTGATTACTATTTTTAAATTGGGACATCGAAACTATGTTATAGAAACATAGTAAGTGTTTAATCTATATTTAAAATAAAATATTTTTAGGAATACATAAGAAAAATCCTTATATTTTAATTTTGACGCTGACTAAATACATCCGGTGGTTCTAGCGCCATCTAGTATAAATAGACATAAACATAACCAACCAACGTCTACTTAACAAAGTGTTAATAGATGGCAGTGCGATCTTTCAATAATTTTTGGCGTCGATATTTGAAAATAAAAACATGAGACAAGCTCTTTTAAATTATCACCTTTATAGAATCGTAATTTTCGTTAGTAACACAATAATTAATTTTTCTGTGTTGAATTTTAAGTCAAGCGCCTCGCTATATGGAACATCAAGTGTCAAAATTGTGCATTGTCACCATCTGTCGCTTTGACATTTGAATAGACTATATTAGAAGAGCTTGATTTGTTTCTGACCGCAGAGTCACTATTGCTTTTATATAAACATAATTCAATTTTTATTTGAAAAATTATAAATAATAATAATATAAACGAATAGATGTCCCAAAAAATGCTAGAAATTTAATAAAAATTACAAATTTGAGGTTACATCGGGAATCTTAGTTACTGTCGAAGTTCGGTTTCTTGCAGTAAGATAAGCTTTACGTCCAATTACATCATTAAAATAATGCATCATAAAATTATATACAAGTATTGTCAACAACAATGTCCGTTGAATGATAAAGAGTCAATAAACGACCTTGCCAATGTAAACAAAGTATCATGTGTCAATCAATAAACGTACACTTGTCCAACAATTTACTAGAATAATAGGTATTGTTGAACTTGCAGAATTTGCATATTTCTATTTATATGACGCCGTCGCCACAAAAAATATTTACGTATCATATCCGATTGCCACATACCTTCTGTTCCAAGTAAACGCCTTTACCTTGGGGCGTTATTGAGCGGGACCAATAGGTGTAAGAGATGTATTTATGCACTTAAAGAATCGAAAACTGTAAAATAGTTATAAAAACTACTTCAAATAAGGCCATATTAATTAGAGTTTTTCCTCCCAAGACCAATTCTAAATCATCGGTTGACAGTATCCATATTACCGCGATCGCCTAAAAAAGCGTTGTTAAGAATACTCTCAGAGATGCTTTCCAAGGAATTTAAAAAGGGTAATAGAAGTTCTTTTAACAAGGAATACTGTAAAAATAATATACTGCAAAAATAACTCATTACTTTATTATGACAAGAGAGTATTGCTTATTTTTTTTACGTTAGCGTTATGAATCGAATAAAATGTCATACGTTCAAACTGTGTTTTTCTCTTCTCTACATAGTTAAAACAAAAAGGTCAGTCACATATCTGAGTATTTGAATATTCATAAGTGGGATCTACTTTTAATCATCAGCCAGAATCATCAACAGTCAGACGAAAATACACAGAATTAGGGCTCCCTTACCTTAGGTTAGTTAAAAAAATAAAAAAAAGCCTGAATAAACGTTAATTAAACCGGAAACGAATAAAAATTGAATAATGCTACATAATCTGTAAACGCTTGTAAGCGTTATTGCGTCATATGGTCATATATACTTACCAATAAAAATATTTCCATACCCCAAATCACTATTCAGTTTGCCATGGTTACCATGATCTGTAGCTTACGGTTCACATGCAGTTTGTACCTTCATAGACGTGCGCAGTACGATTAATCAGGCGGATCGTGGCTCGTCGGCTCACATGTCAGTCGGTTTTTAAGTCCATAAGCGAACAGACGACCAACAGTGCCTTAATACGTTTTGGTTATTGATTTCAATGTATACGTTAATTTGGTATTCAATAAAAATGAAATTACATGAATCAAAATAAGATTTTACTGGATATCAGTTGTCAAAATGAATAAATTCCTTTTATACAACTTTGCTATTTAATTTTACCAGTCGCCTACTAAAATTTCTAATCTAATTGCAAAGCAGGCGTTAAACTCATTTTAGAGTTTTTTTAAATTCCTACTATCAGTTCACATTTAGCGAATTCTTCAATCATCAAAAAAGTAGATAACATATTGTTTTATACACTCAGTTTTTAATACATTTCGTTTCAATAATTATGTAACATACCAAAAAATGCAATAGAAATTATCATAGGTACTATGTAGACATACGAGTATAAATTCATTTATCAAGGCTGGACCAATACAATGCATCATTGTGGTTGTTATTAAGTACCTTAGAACAAAGGGCTAGCACAAAGCAATGCCAGTTTTGGTTTAAATTACTGTAGGTCGATAACCATTATTTTGGACTATTTGATTGATATGGTAATTTTTTTTTTATAATGATGTCATGATGAAGTTATTTTTAATAAAATTAATTAGGTAAAAGTACCACGATAATAAGCGATAAATAGATAATTGAACTAGTCTAGAAAGATAACCTATAAATAAAGGATATACGTGTTTTTCTTTGTTATGAGGTGGCAATCGAGAGCGACCACTTGAATTCGCCAAAACAGCGAAGCGACCGCTGTCGACAGACGAAGTTAGCAGATACATTTTGACATACAATAACTGTTAGTTATGTGTCTTTAAAACGTCCGAATATAATAAAACAGTTCATTACATCTAATATTGAATTATGTAACAAAATTTTCATAACCATAGTCTGAATCCATTGTAAAAAATATTACGTAACACTTACTTAAAAATTGCGTCATCCGCAATAGCATATCACAATGTAGTGATGATGTAAAGTCCTGTAGGAAAGGGAGGGACACATTTAATCAAGTGATCGTCTCAGATTTTCACGTAACGATTACAGTCAAAGAATTAAATTCCCTACCCATTTAAGATCAAAAGTTAAGCTAACACGTTATCGACCTATTTGCATTATAAGCATCAAATGACATTTCCCTGATGAGGATAGGAAATAAACCTCATTGATTTTGCCACTTGTAAAATGGCAGAGATTTTGCGGACGAGTAGCTCTTTGGTCGTATTTTTGAAAGATCATATAAAGCAAAATGTATTACCAATAACATTTATCCGAAGGTTTCCACTGTCCAAATACCAATTACACAGTAAATGGGAGAGATATGTTACTTTTACAGATCTTTCGGCATTAGATGCTCACTGCTTAACAATGTAATACGGCCTTTGTAGTTAAATTACATTTTTGTATTAGAACTTTTTATACTTACCACTACGTTTTTGATCTTCATGTTATAGATGGAATATCGTTTAGAAACAATTTGGTGAGAATTTCCTTTTATAAAAATAAAAAAAATACTTCAAGAGCGTGTATTAGAGCATGCGCACACCTTCGACTACATTCACTTAAGGGTAGGCAACGCATCTGCAATTGCGGATATCTATGGGCAGCGGTCGCTTTCCATTTCGATGGATTCAGGTGGTCGCATGCTCGTCTGCCACCTTATATCATAAAAAAATCACAAGTGTGGTGCGATTGTCGATTGTTTCCCAGCCATTTTTTTTTTAGTTACACAATTAAACATCGAGTAGTGTGTGCATCTCAATATAAGCTCGTAGGAATCAAATCAAGAATAAATAGTTCTGCGAAAATTTAGTCAAAGGTGTGTCCAGGCTCTAAGGCAACGTTTTTTTCAGATTCATCAGAAGACAACCTGCATTTAAATATTAACAGCACAGTCCGCCAATTTTTTTGTCTCTTTCTGAATACGACAAGCTATTGGAGTTTTAAAATTTTTTGCTTACCATGTAGTTTTTCAATAAAGAACAAATAACGTTTTATTCAGATGCCATATGGGTGTAAGTTATTACTTGGGTTTAACTGAGCTTGGTAATTGACAATATCACTACAATCACAAAAAAAAACAATTCAATTTAAAAGTATTTATTACATAAACGATACCATACATAGCATAATTATCCAATAATAATACAACAATAAAATACAGAAAATTTTATAAGATTCATTATTATCTAGCGACTTTATTCCGTTTTTTATCAGTACATTTAAAGAAAAAATGAACTATAAAATAACGGGTATCATAGATAAAAATGTATACTGCAGGAAAAATGATAACATTAACATAAAATTCTAAGTTCATTTCGTGTATTGTTGAAATTAAATAAATAAAATGTTTCGATTACTTGGGTTCGAATAAGATGTAACTTCCGTTTGCTTTATCCTCTAGTTTCATTGTATTCATGACGTTATTTAATTTGCGATGGCTCTGATGTATAAAGTTATAAAGGAAGCTCAGGTTCCATATTTCAGGGACAAATTATTTATAAAAGATTAATATTAGAAAGAAGACGTAAAGAGAAAAGATATCACATACTAAGACGTTTTAAAACAATTTTATAAATTGTCATGTATAAAAGAATTTTAGCATTAGACGTGAGAAATAGAATAAAAGTGGGATGGATGAAGTGGCGACAGGTCACAGGAGTAATATGCGACCCGCATATTTCCATTAAAATAAAGGGGAAAATTTACAAAACCGTCGTATGATGATGATGAAAAGAATTTTAGCATTCGACTACATGATTATTGCATGTCAACCATTCTAAGCTACAGCTGATACTGCGAGATGGTTTCATGAGGTTTATTAGTTATTAAATTGCTGAAAAATCGTATCAGATCTTACAAAGTAACTTTTAACATGATGACTTAAAAGTTGACATGACCCAACCGTAAAAAAGAACATCAGGGAAGCATCGAATAAACATTAAGATACTGGATTCTCATATTTTAAAATGAAACATTTATCATATACGTTTTCATACTAAAGTACTAGCTAGTCAGTGAAATTATTTATAAGGGTCCTAGGTCTGTGAATAGTGAAGAGTGCAGGTAAACACAAAATGGCAGACTATGTTGCAGCTTAAAGGCCTGTCAGTGAATTATAAAAATGATATAATGGTCTGTAACAATCAACCCTTCAAATACTTTTAACAGAAACGCGTTCAGTGGAATGCTACGAATAACACACTAGCTGCTGCAAATAGCTCACATTTCCATATCGATGCTGACCTGCCACTCATTTACAACATACGAGGTATAACTACGATAGGAAATGGTAAGGGGTAGTAAGTGCATACGCGAAGCCTACATGACTATGCATCGCAAATTAAATTTGAAAAGTTAAAAGAACAATAACTATAAATAATTAAAAACACCAAATAATAACAATGTTGTACCTGGCACGTCACATACAAATTGGCCAAATAATTTAAAACGTTTAAAAAACCTAAATAACTTTAAAATTATATGTTTTATTAGAATAGAATACATGCAGTTCAAATATAAATTGGTTAATTGGATAAATTTAAAATAGGAATTTCCACATGTACATTGAACACGTACCAACGTAATGTCCAAAGAGGCCATCGGATAAAAAAGTTGCATTACGTACTACGATATACCACGACGAATATACTCAAAATATGCCCCTCACTTAAAGACACCTAAACATTTTGAAAATAAACACATCTAAAGTTAATAATCTTAGAATTTAACATCTTGATAAAAGCACTTATTGACAAAAATATTAATCGAATTTAGAATTTAGAAGTTATTGCAAAGTACGCCGCATATCAAACGGTTACGGCTCAATATTCGAAACATAGCAAAATACCTTAATCCAATTTAAATATGTCTTAGTGATTACGATACTTAGTAGATCACAAGATCTTTACAAATACCAACTAATCTAGAACTATTAAGTAAATTTTTGTACCGTTAAATGAAATCGAATTAAACGAGAAAGTAATCGAAGCTAGACTACAAGACACACAAATTAGCGGACAACAGTCCTGTAACATATTACTAGCATTAGCGTCGGAGACCCTCTTGCAGAAAGGATAGATAATAGAAAAACAGCCATTGAAGATAAAAGATACAAAAGTAAGTGTAAGGTACCAAACTGGGGGTAATCTTAGATTTAATAAATCAGTCCGTTGTCTACCGAGTTGCTTTATTGACGTCCCAGTAAGGATTACACGATTATAGTTTGCGTCGTTCGAGAGAAAACGAACACAAATACGGTATTACTTTCCAACAGAACAGTTACACGATTGAAGCATTTATAAATGAATAAGCTGCCTTGTGCGAGAGGGTTACCTTTGGGAGTGATATAACAGCGTTTGGTGAGTTTTGCGTCGGGTTACCGAAGGTTATTTAATGTTCACATGAGGAACTTTCCGATAATGATGCCTACGAACGCCATGCCGATGGCGATGGCAATCCAAGGGATCAAGGTAGCCTGGGCGTTCTTGTCGGGAGTATACGAATGCCGGCGAGCGCGGCCCTCGCCCACTTTCTGGTGCAGGCGCAGTAACTCCTCCTAGAATTAAAAAGAAACAATAACATTAATACTCACGGATACTTTGTTACATTTATATAATTTAAGGTCAAAAGGACTCATGCCTCTCATGCACATGAAAAGTTTCGTCGCTAAATTAAAAAAAATCGCAATTTACTACACTACTACATTTGGCAGAGCGAGGGATATAATTGTTAGTTTCCACTGCCGAAACAAGTATACTAAAAATTTTGTCATCTCTTCAATTCTATTTTAAATCAAAACAGAGCTAACAAAACATTTATGTACAGTTTCGGCAACAAAAACTAATCCTAGTATCTCTTTAAAAGCTTAAAAAGTAAGTTGTAATATTACTACGCCAGCGTCAAAGTTTACAGACATCAATTCGCTAGTGACAAACATATCTGTACAAATATATAGATTCATATTGAATGAACTGAATATTATAAAAGTACAAGAACTAAAAATCCTGTTTCATCGTGTCGATCAGAGAATCACTTGAGAATAAGGTCAGTGATTGTAAAGTGTTCACTGCTAATGAAGAGAGGACGTTCCGGGAGGGGACTGAGGACATGCAATGCAACCTATAAATCAAGACATCGTGTTTCCAAAATAGAAGAAAATCAAAACCTTAATCAGGAATAGTTCGAATATTTCATTTTTTTAATAATTTTACACTAGTCATTAAGTAATTATTAAATTGGATTTGGATTAATTGGGATTTAAAAAAAAATATTTTGACCAATCACAGGATAGGATAAATTTCATTGTGACCGCTAGACTGAACAGATTTTGACTAGTGAGAGATGGTTTTTGTTTTTTATATAACTATTTATTGTACACTTTATTATGGATGTCCCAAAACTGTCCATTATGCTTAGCACAATAATAATCAAATTCGCTCCGCAATGTTTTATAGACCAAATACAAAATCGCATTATTACTATGGAATGATGAATTAATTCTGTGGCTCAATTCTCGTATATTAGTTGTACGAAGCTGAATACGTAATTACTCGCAATATTTCACTTTAGAAATGTTATGCCTTAACATTTCGTCTAGTTTTAAGAGCTTGTAGCTTCATTACTTCCAAGACTTTATGATAGTTCATGGATTCAAAGTTGCGGTTTAACGGCTTTATTGTTTGTGATGTTTACAATTCTAACAAATTTATATAGAATTTAAATTACACTTTCTTAAATACTGAAGATAATCAAAAACATAATTTCTATTTTCAAAAGGTATTCATTCGCTAAAAACGCAAGCATACATATTTATTTAGGTTCTTCTAAACGCTAAGACCTTCTAAGAACATACAAAACCATACAAATATGATTTGTAAAAAATAATATAATATTAAAAGCAGAGTAATGGCGATGCAATAAAACGAAGGAAGGGCCGCCATGCATCGACCGCAGTTTTTCGACGTTAATGTTGCAGTAGCTAAGAGCATTGAAGCCGTGTACGGGGACCCTTAACTACGGATAGTAAAGAGTATCTACTATTAAAGGCTATTCTACTAAATATTGGTTGGAAATTTTAGATTCTATTAATGTGAAATTAAAAAAAAAAGATAATGTGCTCAAATAAATAAGCGCTAATTGCTTTGCTTTATAAACATTAACCCGTAATTCGATAATGCCTAATCTGACGAACTAGTTAAAACAATATGAATATAATCACATTCATATTTCATACCTAAATATATAACTACTAACTTTTCAAAAACCCCGTTGAATTAAGGGTAAGGATTTACAGTTGCGTTTATTCCACAAATTCACGAGTACTCAAAACGCCAAGTGCAAAAAAGTTAACTTGTTAACCCTTTGCTTATGTACAAAATTAGGTCACAATGTGGTTGTGAAGCACCACTCAAAGCAACAAAAGATGAGTATATATCTTACATATGCAAAAAACATAACGGCTAGCATAACTATGTACCACAACCAAACACAAATTTATAAAAAAAAATATCAGGAAAGAAGACTACAGGTTATAGAACTCTCATTCAACGTATATATCACATCGATTTCTAAATAACATTAACACTGCTCGTAAGCATAAAAAATGTTAAATGGTAACTTACTTTCAGTTGTAAATTCTCATGTCTCAGTTTGCTTTCCTCCTCTCTCAGAAGAAGTACTTCCGAAGTCGCCTTTTGCAAATCGTTTTCCAAGTTATCGTGCTTAAACACAGTAAATGTCTGAAATTACAAATTATAACTAAAATAGAAAAAACTACGCTTATAAAATATTTCTTACATCGACATATGCAAATAAAAAGTAATAATGCTTTAAAGGAAATCTTACTTCTTACTAATGTTACTAATATTATAAATGCGAAAGTTTAGGTGGATGGATGTTTGTTAGAGTTTGTATCCTAAACTGCTGAACGGATCTCGATGAAATTTGCCATAGATGTAGAGTATGGTCTGGAAGAACTCATAGGGTACTTTTTCTTTAATTCTACGCGGATGGAGTCGCGGGCGAAAGCTAGTTATTAATAAAGTACAATAAAAGTTTACATTATACCATATTAAAGTAGAAGCTCGATAAGTAAAAGTCCAAGGGAAACACGAAATATTTTAAGTTATCAAGGGTCTATGTTATAGAGGTTTTGAACTCTGATGGGCAATCGTACGACTACAGGATGAAAAACTGGACAAACAGTACGAAGTCGGGTGGTAACTAATTCATATCTATACTAATATTATAAAGAGGGAAGCTTTGTATTTTTGTACGTATTGAAATAATTCAAAAACAACTGACTCGATTTCCAAAATTCCGACACCATTAGAAAGTTACGGTATCGCTGAGTAGCATAGGCTAAATTTAAAATTTTACGTGGACGAAGTCACGAGCAACAGTTAGTACATTTATAAATGTGGTTAATTCTATCGGGTTGGTTATTGTTATTGCGAAAAATGTACTGTCTAAAATAATTTATATCAACTAATTACTTATGTCAACAAAAGATAATTTTAGTTAATATATTAAATAGGAACTAAGCTTCTTGCCTAGTTATTAAACACAGGTGGCGCTGATAGTTCCGAGATTTTCCTTTACCGTTATTTCAGAAAATTCACAGGAGACAATTACGTCACTTGTTTTCGTGTTAAAAACTCTTACAATATTTATTTATTAATTGTTAACGAGCCAACCTTCGTATTAAATTCGCATCTTAAAGCGCTGCAATGAGTTTACAGGTATTGTGGTACTGGGTTCGGTAAACACTTATTATTCGTCGGTTGAAAAATTCCTTGGTATATTATCAATCTTAAAAGAAGTATCACAAACAACAAGATCAAAAAGGTAGATGAAAATAAGAATGTTGTCGCATTCTAAACCAGTACAGAGGTTATTTGTTTCACTTTTACAAAATCAACTCTCATTCTCTTTAAAAATTAAACACAATGTTGTAGATGGGGTGTTTCAGGCGGTATAAACTTCTATATTTAGTAAAAATTTGTAGTATTACTTAAAATGAATCTTTTTTTATACACCCATTTAACGCAAAGAAGTCATTTTCTCACGGCACTTGTTTCTACTTACATAAAGACTAAATGCACAGAAATTTAACAAAAACTTTGGATTACCATAGTGAACAAAAGTTAAAAAGATTATTATGAAGCTAGGAAATATCAGATATGAAATGCAGAGACTTTAATGAGGCAACATGCTTAGAATTACAACCAAAGCCAATGTGTTGAAACGCAATACTAAAGATATTGGTTAATTTCCACTATAACTTCTTCTCTTATCACTATCTCTTTTTATTTTCCTTAAAAAAAAGAGATAACAATTATGTTAGCTTGCCGATATCATGACAGAAGACACGGTATGAGAATGAGATGTATTTAGTGACACATTAGTACAATTAAAAAAAATTAAGAAAGCTTTAGTCGAAGAGCAAAAATGGATGTATGATGTATGGAAGTGATTACTATCCTTAACCGTGAGGAAAACGTCCTGAAGACCAATGAGTAGTTTTTACGTGTTTCTTTAATCTGTTAGTGAAATATAATTTATGATTTTTTTATTTTTACTTCTACCACTACTCTCGGGTTAAATATGACCTAGGACCGTCAATATTTAGATAATAAAATTTAAATCGATTCGTAGGGAAATTACAGTACAAATAATTAGCTACACTGTCCTAGCTCCATTCGTATGTGATTTAAATACCTTATTCGCGGCAATAGACGTATTTATTTTGTCATCTTCTTCAGTTTTTGGAGAAACGCTAAGGAAGTTTTGTTCGACAGCAACCTGCAAGACAATAACACGCTGTGCTATTCTCAAGCCTTGGCCGACCAGGTCACGCTCCAAGATTCGCATATAAACTCATGAACTCAATTTCGATAACAGAAGTAATGAGACATTGGATAACATATTTATTGTCAGGATAATTAATGTGAAACGATTGTTATAATGTTCGAATTATTTTCATTATGTTTAGGAGTGACTAGGCTCGAGAATGGCAAAAAAAAACATTGCTAGAACTGTCTACATTAGCTCTGTTATTCAGTAACGGTATGTTAGGTTATATCTGAGTTAACAGATTGAACGAATGGCGCCGTTTATTGCTTATTATCCTATTGGTATGGTACCTACTTACAATGACCGATGCATTTTGTCAACACGGCAGTAAGGGGACGCATTACCGATCGCTACAAAACTTAGTCGGATCAGATTGATCCAATAGCGAGCTAATCTTATCTACAAAAACAACTGTATTGCCCACATGTGTAATTTATCTAATTGATATTGGTCTGATTCATCGTATTTTGGAAAAATCGTTATAAAACCAGAAATCAAAACTTTGTATCAGAGAATCTCCTATCACCTACAACATACCACTTAGCTTAGTATAAATTATCTATATGTACAAAATAGTTCCTATATCTGCCATAGTTATATTAAAAATGAAGATATTAGTTTGAACAACTCTAATCCGAATATCAATAAAATTACAATGCAAGTTGATATTACATTAAATGATTTAAAGGACTTCTTGATGCTTCAGTTAATGATGATGATAAATGCAGGCATTATTACCCAAAGAGAAGAGAAGAATGGGCAAAATAAAAATCCAAAAAGCTTACATAATGCACAGTATCTAAGTGTTTGTGTTCCATACCTTGTATCACTTGTACTTTAAAGATCAAAATATGGAACCTTTCACAGAAAACATTGCTTTTACATCAAATAACTTACCTTTGGAAGCTTAGTGTCTTCAGTGGCCGGTGCTCGCTTTTTGGTTACTTCATTCTGGGCAGCGTTGTCACCAGAATCCTGATATAAAAATGATATTAAATAAATCATCACTTGCATTTAAGAATTAACTTGGTTAAATTTAAATTAGTTTTTGTATGAAGGTAAATGAACATTTGCCTAAAAGTGTATGTCAGTGTATGGATGTGTATGTTTTTAATTATATAAAATGAACTTACATTCAAATTAGACACACGCGGAGTTTCAAAGACACATTTCAGCTTATAATCCATGAGCTGATCGGGGCTGATTTCCTTCCACTAAAAATTACCAAATAATATTAAAATCACCTTAGAACAATAAGTGATATCACAATAATTTATGTACAATAGTTATATAAAAACGTACCACTTGATCAATGTTAGTTCTGCCCTCCGGGGCAATGACACTTTGCACCATGAACTTATGTTTGTGCTTCTCATTGGGATCAAGGTACACCGGCTGAGGCGTAACTAAAATTATAAAACAATATCAAATATTAGCTTCCGTATCTAACTTAACTAGAACTATTGTTCAATAAACTACCGCAACAGTTTGTTGATTACAAAAACAGTTGCTTGCTAAATAGTAAATTTTACAAAATTAATAGTTAATTATAATCATAAAGCTAAGAAATATCAGATATTAAATGATGAAACCCTTTAATAAAGAAACATGCTTATAAACTTAATGAAAACAAAATCTGAAACTCACTTGCAATGTCGACTTTAGAATTGGGCTCTAACACACCCGAGTTGGGTCGCACGCAATACTTCTTCGGTGCTGTTGTTTTAATTTTAAACAGCACTGTATCCGAACTGGGATTGGTCAGCCTCATGTGAGTGGTATACCCCTGCTCGAACAGTCCTGAGAAATCAACTAATTCCATCAATAATAACGACCATATCACTCAGCATGAGAACAAATTGTAAACAAATTTCTATTGCCTATATGTGACATTGTTTATAACCTCTACGCATCAGTTAACAAATAATTTAGAACGCAAGTAATGTACACGACGAGAAGTTCAAATTGATCACTGAATGTCATAGGCTTACATATCCAACACAACCGTTGAATCTTTATTAGAAATCATTTATCACAGAAAGTTCAATATTGTGAATCGTTAATAACATTAATAGTTGTAATTTAATTCTTGTTACTTAGTAATTATTGAGGTTATCTCTTGTCAACTCTTCTGAAAGAAGTTATTGAACAATGATGTAATGCACATGTGGAAATCAAGTCTCATTCACAGTACAAATTAATTACAAAACAAATAATATTATTATTAGAATAATTATGATTAGTAAATTTGGTATAGATGTAGAGGATAGTGTGGATTTCTTTAATTATTAGACTAATAATTTTATTTATCACATATGTTATCAATAGTTATTACTCCGACCCCTTTTATTCAGACACTAGCTGTTCCCCTGTGACTTCATCCGCGTGAAATTATGAAAACTTTATTTTATTGTTTACATGTGTCAAATTATCAATTGCAAATGTCAAAATGACATGACATGATGACAAAGCATGGCAACCTTGCTTCCTTGATGTTGGCAGCAACTTATGGTCTCATTCCCACATTAGGGTTTTTATCCAAAATATTTACCCCCTAAGTTTAATGGTGTGAAAATATATAGCCTAAAGTGTGACTTAAGTGTAGGGCTTTTTATTAAAATATGCTGTAATATATGCTGTAATTACTGACATCTTAGGCAACAAAGAAGTGTGTGTTTACCCTTTATTATAATAGTATAGATATATCGATAAAGAGTATTTTAAAACTACCCTCCGGTAGCAAATTTCAAATGTGTCAATTATTATAACATCCATTTAGCAAATAACATCTGTACCATGTTTTTAATGTATAGTGAAATCATTTAAATGTAATCAGGAAAAAATTGTCATTTATTTATCAAATAGTTGAAGACAATCTTTAATTGCTCTTGATAAAATAAGATATTTAATTTTAATAAACATCTATCATTTTTAGAGCAGATTGATCTCAAATTAACTTGAATGCAGGAAAAAAAATAGATATATCTGATCTATTTGCTAATTAAATATTCATAATTTAAAATCATTAATTGCTAAAACAAATAATTTGTTTATGCTAGTTGACAAAAACAATCGAGAGTTTCCATTAGGACACTTGCTTTAATTACAACGAATTTTTTAGTAACAGTTCCGACAAGTCTAGAATTACATTTACTGGAAAAATGTTGTGTAATGATAAGTACTTGGAACACATTACATATAATCATAGTTTATAGTCACATAAGAAAAATATAGCTTGTTAGCTACCTATGATAGCTGGTTTCCACAAGCATGTACTCATTACTATGTTAAAATTAAAATAAATACCATCAAACTAATATTATAAATGCGAAAGTTTAGATGGATGGATGCAAGTTAGTTAGAGTTTGTAGCCTAAACGGATTTCAATGAAATTTGGTACAGATGTAGACAATAGTCTGGAAGTACACATAGGCTACTCACTTTTGTTTTTTTTATTCCACGCGGACGGTGTCGCGGGCGAAAGCTAGTATTGTTATATTGTAAAGACCACATATTTTTGTATATTGTGAAGAAAAGTTACATGGAATGTGTTAATATTTAACTATCTTGAGAAGTGGGAAACTGTGTGCTGAATACTTTCAAAAGATGTTATTAATAAGTGTGGTTTTACACATAGCTGAGGTTTTATTTAAATGTCAATGAATTGAATCCTTCAAAGTGATTTGAGAACCTAATGCAATGTATTTAAAGGTTAACTAAATTCACTATTTTAAAAAAAAATAGAGACTTTTCTAAATCACGTTGTATAAAAGTAAAAAAAAATTAATGAGGGCATTTATGAGAGTAATGAGTTTTTTTTTTATTTCAGTCAGTATTATCGTGTTACGTATTACTATTCATTGTTTATTATTTAGTTATTGATAAAATAAACCAATGAAATTAATGTTAATCCAAAATATGAAGAGAAACTGCCATCCTTGCTCAATTTTTTAATTGAATGTTACAAGTCGTAAATAACACGATGTGCAAAATATCTAAATTGTAACGAACAATATACATTCGCTCAACAATTATCACAAGAATAATAGTATAGCTGACACTGGTGTTCTATTCTAACATTATAATATACACTAGTAAAGTAGGTATACTCCATTAGCTCATTTTTAGCGACACGATTACCGACAATATGGTTACATTATTTCTATGTATTTGTTGTAAGCCAACGTAAACTATATTAATTAAAAGCATTTAACCGAAGAAATTAATGAAAACCGCACCCTGACAAAATGGATCTGGAAATAGAAACTCCCTTTTGTCAGCAGCTAACACGGCCTGTGCTACTCAAGATTTAATGCGGCAGTAGCTTAGACAATAAAAAGATATAATTCTTACCTTTAAATTTCAGCTCATTTTGCGGGTCGACAGTCAAAACTTGATTTGGCATCTTGAATTATTATAAATATCTTATTTCGATGGTAAAATTAGCTGAACAAAAAAATGACTATTCACCAACGACGGCCAGATAGAACGATGTTCACCGAACGCAGAACGATTTATGATTTCATTCGCAGTGTGTTGTACTAAAAAATTACGAATATGCAAAGGTGGCAACACTGACGCTTGCATAATCTTGTCTATATTTCTCGGTTGGACGAGAAATGATATTTTATAAAATTACTTAGCAATTAGCGTACAATTATCTTATTGAGTACCAAACTTAATTAGCAATGAAATAAAGATAAATCCTATCAAGGAATTAGAGAAGTTATACAGTTTGTAGTTTCCTATTTCCTCACCAGACAATACTTTATTGATTTTAATTCAGTTTCATACTTCATTATTACAATCAAAAACATTTTGTTACATAAAATCGTATTTTATTAATTTTCTGCTATTCCGGTATTTTTAAAATTTTCTTATGAGAACTTACGATTTCTGAACGGTTAAGTTGGACTATTTTTAATTTTTAACAGACAAAAATAAATACAATTTATATCAGGCTGTTCGATAGAAATAAAAGTAAACGTAAAGAAAACAATGTTGAAAATTCATGAAGTCCTGTTTTCACTTTGTCTTATTTTGTTATAAAAAAGCACAATAACCTTGTGGCACCTTTTCGACATTGACAGGAGGGCGCCATTAAGTATTTAGGGTTACCAGCAAAAGTAATATATCCACATTAAAGGGAAATCCTTTCCTTTTGGAAAATAAACGTAATTTGTAAAGGAAGTACTTGTACCTTACAATGTAACTATGATATGATCTTGATTTAGTTTTTTTGGGGAGAAGACTCTATAGATAAAGAACTTTTGTAAGAAATTTTTAACAATCCACTCTCATTAGACATTAAGGAAAGGAACAGCCTTAACATAATGGAAACTGTCTTACTTAGTTCTTATCTAGAGAATAATAGAAATCTTAATGATTGTTTGTTATTTACAACCAACGCACAGTACAAACTGTATGGTGTGTCATTAGGATTTTATGTCACGAAGGCAAAACTTCCAGTTGCACAAAACATGTTACATCTAAGGGTTCGGTCATTGCAATTTGAAATAGGTAATAAAACAACTATCAAAAACATATTTTTGAGTATATTACTATATATACATTTTAAAAATTACGAAATTAAACATGTACACGCGTCCCCTTGGGAGTTAGGGAATTTCTTGAAATGTCAAATGGTAACACATATTCGTTAATAAGATGATTTATTTTTATTACTGGACCCACTACTTCGTCTCAGAGATAAAAATATTTCCCACTTTAAAAAAAACTCACTTACACTACTTTTAACCACTTTTATCACTTTTTTTCATGGAGCAACATTAAAAAACCACACACAATGCGTAAAGTTAAGACGCGAAGTGAACTGACAAGCTATGACACTTTTACCCGGACATTAAATGCCATTTCTTAATTCATAAAATTGCCGGATGCCAAAAGAAGTTTGTTCCACTATACACCAGCTCAAATGTCAAAACAATAATGGCTGGGTCTGGCTGAATATTCGGTTAGCTTTTGCACTGCTGTTGTTAAAATTGTAATTGTTTTGAAAGTTGCACAGGAACTTGTGTTATAAACCGTTTTTTATTTTATTTTTGATCTGTTAATTATTTTATAGCTTTGTAGTAAAGTAATTGTGACATAATGTAAAGAAAAATTGTTTTACTAGACATCATTCTCAATAGCAGCTACTTTTTGAACGTGTTAGTGATTGCATAAGATGCCCGGTTAATTTAAATTATAAATATGATTTATTTTAATGTCACTAACATTAGTCTGGTATTAAGAACATGCATAAAACTAAATCGTGGTTTTCTTACACACGCGTCAATAAAACATAGCTTTAATATAAATTGCCAAAGACTCTTTGGTTATGTTCCTATATGTAGCCGTCGTATCCACACTTCAAAAACTAACAGACAGATGCAAAAGGATGGTGTCACACTTATCCCGTCACCACAGGAGGTAGGTCCATCAAAATCCATAAAATCTTGTTCTATATTAAATTATTAAAAATTATTTAATTGGTCAGACGGAGGAGTAATTCTGTCTGTGTAGATTTGTTGGTTCTAATGTGATTGTACATATAGCTGCTACTGAATAAGTAAACTGTTGTATCATGTACTTATCTCGTTAATTTTTGTCTGTCTTCATTGTTAACTTCCATATTTCTTTTAGGTGACACTTATTCTTCGTAAAAATGAGTTCAACAAAGAATTCTCCTCTGGATCTGTCAAGTCATATGATTCCAATCAGCTGGCCTCCAATGATCCCATTGAGGATACGAGATGTGAAGGGCAGTGCAAGCTAACACCAGGTAAGCCTTCGTAATTCTTGAACACATTTAATTTTTGCCTTAGAATGTTTACAGTGGGAGAGCGTGCTTTAACATCTCCGCTCTAATGGGCAGGCTCACCTGGGGTAATACCACAACCACACAGAAAATAGTCATGAAGTGGAAGCTATTCCGCGTTTCGTCTGATCAGTGTGGTGCCCGAGGCCTAATTTTAGTCCCTTTCCCTTTCCACCCTTTTATTAAGAGGAGAGGATGGAAAGGAAAAGTGGATTTGACAGTGGAGGAGCCGCATAGGAAGGGAATATGTCCTCTTTATGTGTGTCACCTCCTTCATTAATTAAGGGTAAGCAATGCATCTCCAATTGCGGATGTTTATGGGCAGCGGTCGCTTTATAATTTGGTGGATACAGGTGGTCAATAGCTTGTTTGCCACCTTATGTTGAAAAAAACAAAAAAAAGTAGATCATGGTTCACAAGCTGTTTGTGTTATGGTTGTTTGTATTATATTTACCATATCAAGATTTTTCATTAGCAGTTTTTACTACGATGATTGGGTTTTGAACCATTTTTAGACATAAATGATTTTTAATTTTAAACTAACTAAACCTGGCAATACAAAGTCTAAATAATTTTAAACATTGTCAACAAAAAGTTATAAACTGAAAAGAATTTCTCTCATCTTACTTCTTACTTAATATCATAGATGTAAAAGTTTAGATGAATGCTGAACAGATCTTGATTAAATTTTTCATAGATGTAGAGCATAGTCTGGAAGAACACATAGGCTCCTTACATTAGTTTTTTTAAGACCATGCAAATGGAGACACTGTCGAAAACTAGTATGTTTATATTGTTTACTTATGTGTAAACTAGTTAGGCACTTTGACAAATAATTTGCATGTCTGTTGAGATATAATTATTTCTTTTCAGGTTTAATGATGGGAGTGTTCGACGGTCATGGTGGTCCTGCTTGTGCTCAAGTTGTGTGCAAAAGACTATTAGATTATATTTCCGCGGCTATGCTTCCAGCAGATACAATTAACTCAATCCTGAAGGAGCCACAAAATGCTTTAATGGAAATATACAATGATAAAGTAAGTTCTCTCATTAATAACATATATTATCACTTAGTAAACCATAATTTCATCATCATCTTCCTTCATAGCCAACGCTCGTAGGGTCGACACAACAGGTTTTTGTCCTCCATGTAACTCTATCCTACATCATCTCAGTGATCACTCCCCCTTGACCCCTTTTTGACCATGTCACCTTTCACATAATCCATTCATAACTTTCTAGGTCTACCTCTACCGATGTACCCTCCCACACTCATAACTAACATTCTTGTAACTTGCGATTCATCCCTCCTCATAACAACCCATACCAATCTAACCTTTTACTCCTTACCTTCTCTATGACTGGGGCTACTCTCAAAGTAAAACTATCATTTCATTTTTAATTATTTAATTAGTCCTTATCCTACTCCTGCAGGGTCAGTTCAACAGGTTTTTGACCTCCAGGTTTATCTATCTTCTTTCATCCTAGTAATCCTTGTCTCCCTTCTTCTTGTCCACTCCTTTCATGATCTTGTCGCTTTTTAAGTCATTCACCCATTCTCTTTCTAGGTCTACTTTCACCGATGTACCTCAACATGACTTAAGTTGTGACATAATCCAACCTTCCTTATAACATGACTATAATTGTACTTTTTCTCTTTATTTTTTACTAGCTGTTCCAGTGTGGCTTCATCCACATGAAATATCAAAATTCAAATGCACAAATGACAATTGCTTCCTTGATGTTGGTAGCAACTTATGGTCTCTTTCCCACATTAGGATTTTTATCCAAAATATTTACCCCCTAAGTTTAATGGCGTGAAAATATATAGCCTAAAGCGTGACTTAAGTGTGGGGCTTTTTATTAAAAAAAGAACAATTCTAAAATTTTTCTTTTAATAAAAACAAAGAAGTGTGTGTTTACACTTTACTATAATAGTATAGATTTAATTAGTGTAAATAAAAATCAAGTTATTGAGCCAGTGGTTAGATAACTTAATATTTTATAAAAAAGAGCTGTTTAGATTATATAACTTTTTAATGGTGAAAGTATTTTTGTAATCAGCCAGAAATTTTTTAATTATATCAAAACATACTAAAACATAAATCTTTTTCCTGTATAACGTAAAGTATGGATGTCTAGTGTGCATTAAAAAGTACCTTTTTTCACAATTCACTTTTATTTTAAGATGTTGTCAGCTACAAATGGAATGCCTAGTTTTTTAAAAATGGTCTGAAGCATGTTTGCTTTAAAACTCCTCAATTAGCACTTAAATTCTGGTATTTCACTTTCAGATAGAACTTATAAATGACCTTAAATTAATTTATGACAACAGCTTAAAAAATTATTTATTGGAGTTGACAAGAACACCTCGAGACGATTTAAGTGTGAACACGGCAATGGAGAAAGGAGTCTTACAATTAGATAGTGATTTATCTAGAGAAGTTATTGAACAATTTTATAGTAATGGTTATATAAATCAGAAGACATTATCTGTGGCTCTATCGGGTGCAGTAGTCTGTGTATCATATATAAATGGACCGCATTTACACGTAGCAAATATTGGAGATTGTAACGCAGTATTGGGAACATTGACTGATGATAATGAGTGGATAGTGAAGAAAATTACCAAAGAGCATAATTCAGAAAACTTCGATGAGTTGAAACGAATTTGGAGTGAACATCCTGATGAAGAAAGGAAGACGGTGATAAGACGAGATCGATTGCTTGGTGAGTTAGCCCCACTTCGAAGTATGGGTGATTATCGATACAAATGGTCGACTGAACTATTGTCCAATGTGGCAGTGCCATTAATCGGGGAAAAAGCAATACCAGCAAATTATCATACCCCTCCCTATCTCACAGCTAAACCGGATATATACTATCATAGACTAACACCAAAGGACAAATTTCTTATAATGGCTTCGGATGGTTTATGGGACATGTTAACTCCGTTACAAGCTGTTAAACTAGTGGGTGAACATATGAAAGGAAAAGTTTTTTACAACCCATTGAAATTACCTAAGAAGAATATACAGTTAGGAGATATTAACGAACTGCTTCTTCATAGAAGAGAAAGCTTGAAGACTAAACCGAAGGATAGAAATGCTGCGACACATTTGATAAGGCATGCTATTGGTGGGACGGAGTATGGGATAGATCATTCTAGACTTTCCCACCTTCTCAGTCTAACCCCAGATGTCAGTAGAATGTTTAGAGATGACATAACAGTTACTATTGCATATTTTGATTCAGAGTTTCTCAGACAGTGTCCGACATAAAAAGCAAAGACTATAGAAAATATTGTGCCTTGTATTTTTGATACCGCAACTGAGAAAACGTTTATAAATATAAGTATGTTGAAAGTAAATTAATAATGTATATAATACAGTTAATATTAATAATTATGCGTGATTTATAAATTTGTAAAGTCAATTTTTAAAGTAGAGTTGTAGCTGTTGCTATTTATATATATGACTGATGAAAATATTCTGTTAACTATATCATGTATGAAATTATATGTAATATCAAGATGTGAAAATCAATATAAACATTATATTTTTCAATAATACAAAAAAGGTTTTAATTCGATTTAGAATCGAATGGACATCGACAATTGACTTTAATGTCTGGTTAGTGCTAATTTGTATTTATTTTATTCGTATTTATATAATATTAAATTAGCTTAGGTTTTAAAAGTTTTAATGAGGTTTCTGTCACAAGTATTTTTGTGTTTTTATCATTAAATTATTGCGTGCAGTTTTTACAATTGATTTTGAATTAATTTGATTTCATTCATACAGATTGTTATTTGCTATTGTAATCTTATACATTTTTAGCAAATAAAATTTATCACTTTTTTGGTGCAGATTTCTTGACAGTACAATAAAAAGAATTTTTTAACTCTTTGTAATAGTATTTACATTGTTAAATCGATAGCAATAGAATAGTAAAAAGTTATGCTGAAATTTTCCAGTTGAAACAAATAAAAACAATATAACTACCTCAATTACGTCTATTTATTTCAAAACTGTTCCTTTGCAGCATTGAAAATATTGAAATTATTTTGTAGATTGGAAATAACGCCATCTAGTTTAAAAAATTTGAAACTAGCTTAGCCTTCTATGATTACTGCCCGTGTATTAATTTTAACTACAGCCTAAATGGATATGCCAATCAGACTTTTATCCATAGGCTGTGCCAAATTTTGTCATTATCTGTAGAGCCATTTGGAGATACCTTCTAATAAACATCCATCCATCCAAGAAGTAAGGTAACATTACAATAGAATATTATTACACTCCAAGGGGGTTAAGTGCAGAAGAGATATTCTTACAATCTGCAACCATGTTTTTTTTTCTTTTTAAATACCATAAATTGACAAAGGTAGTCAATTGAACATAGATTTAGGGAAAAATGAAGAAAAAAATATTTTTCAAAATAGTTTATTGGGTAAGGAAGATAAGTCTGATGTATATGCATCATAATGCATTTAAGTAAATAAAACAAGATTATTTTCATTTTAATGTCCTTTATTTATCAGTTATATTAAAAGTGAATAATACCATATCAATCAAGTATTGTAAAGTTTGCGAATTGTAATAATTATGTACAGAGAGAAATGATAGAGAAAGATCTAGCACACTGCCGCGAATGCGAAACGAAAACGACGTGAAAGCGAAACGCGATAATCTAACACAGTTTGCCCCATAATATAATATAAGGTTGGCAAACCAGCAAGCGGCCACCTGAATCCACCGAAATGGAAGCGACCGCTGCACATAATCCGCAATTGCAGATTCGTTGCCTATTCTTAATAGATGGAGGAGGAGACGCACATGAAGCGGATATTATCCCTTCCTTTGAGTCTCCTCCACCGTCAAATCTACTTTTCCGTCCCATCCTTTCCTCTTAAGAAAAGGGTGAGAAGGGAAATTGACTAAAATTAGGCCTCCGTCACCACACTCATCAGGTGAAACGTGGAATAGCTTCCACTTCATGCCTGTTTTCTGTGTGGTCGTGGTAATATACCGGGCGAGCCGGACCATTCGTGCGAAGGTTTTAAAGCGGGCTTTACCACTGTTAACAACTAACAATACGGTTGCTTTGAGTCTCCTAAATGATTCTCTGGAATAATCCATACCAGGTTCATAGTAAAATTGGGTTTACTTCCGTTCCGAAACGCTTTTGCGGCAGTGTACTACATACCTAAAATGTTTAGAACTCTGAACACCTAATATAATTTAAAAGTTACGAAACGTGGTAGCGAACTAAATAATTCTTACTACTAATCTTAAATTTAATACTAAGTAATAAAGTGTAAGTGAAACTTAAATGTACGAAGTGGAAAAATTTCCTAAACAAATGACTTACATAAGGTTAAACTATTCCGATAAACATTTGTGCCAAAGTTTTGAATAACAACGCACTGTACTGTGATTCCTTTTGTGATAAAAATCTTTATTATTCAACTAATATCGTTTTATAATTTGAAAGAGATCTTTTTCCGTATAAATGCTTCGATTTTATAAAGTAATTTAAAATGAAAATGCATTTATTACAATAAATAAGTTGGAAAAATTTACAACGTAAAAAATATGCTACCCGACATAAATAATGTAGTAATTTTCAAACGTAAATAAATAACTGCGTAAGAAGTAAAAGCAGTGTGTTTTAACAAATAACCATCGTTAATCTACATTACATCTATTGAATGAATTTTGGCTACACACCTCTATGTTAATATAATTAATCGTAAATGCTTAATTTTAAGAAATACATAAAGTTCCAATATATTGAATACGGATTCTAATTTTAACAACTACAATCTTAAACGAATATTTTATTTAATTATGAATATAGGCATTATAGCCATAGTAAGGAATGTACTAAAGACTCGCATATCAAGTGAAGACAAATTAAATAGTTTGCTGCTTTCGTAACACATTACTTTTAGTTAGTGAAAATGTTGCAAGTTTGTTTAAAATGTAATCATAACATTAGAGAAATGTTTTTAAAACAAATTAAGGTGAGATTAAAATCTCTTACTTCATATTTTTTTTTTGTTAATTCATCAACCGAAGTTATAGAGGGCGTCTGAGCCTTAAATTTGAGTGAAATCACACAGAACCATCTACTTATATCTAGACAAAATGCACAGCCCGCAAAATTTTGTCCTACTCTCTATCATTCCAATTTCTCAACAATTCCTACAAACATCGTCAATAGACAAAAATTGACTTTAAAACCGTCACGTATAACTACGCCCTTTTAAGTTTGCTGAACGATATCAAAACTCAAAGATTCTCAATTACGTGAAAATTTTTTCTCGACAAAACTATTCTATATAATTATATAAAGCAGTTCTTATCAGTATGTTCTTAAGATTAAATTACATTAATACGAACAATGAGAATTTTCTAAGGGAAATATCCAAAAGTCCTCCAAAATATAACAGGTTTACGTCGTATATGCTGTAATCTGTATTCTGTAATGTTACCGTGGACTTCTATTGCTGTCTCGTTGATACAAAAACATTGTTATCCCTGTCTCTTTTAGACTGAGATAACAATATGGATATATCTGATGGAACCACCAACCCATGATAAAATTATGGGTATACAGATTTTTCTGATGAATTAGATAAATTTTATTGCAAAAATTGTCACGGAGGTTGATGTTATTCATCGTCTCCTTTAGTGATTGCTTCATAATTTTTCATTTTCATATGACGACGCTGGTTAAGAAATATGGTATCACAAGATAAATGTCTTGAATTACGTTTTTAGTAACAAAATGTTAGTACATCGATGTTTTTTTTATTAATACTTTCTGGTTTTTGATGAATTTATTAGCAATCTCATTATACGATCTTATTTTAACAATTTCAAATATCATTGTAGTCTATAAAATTACTTTGAAATTTACATTTATTATGCCAATTGTTCGAAGTTATTGAGGCATAAATATTGTATACTTATTATCTTATAATAATAACGTTTTTATAAACATTTATTTTGAATTCAAAAACGTTTGTTTTAATTTAATTTTGATTGAATGGGACAACATTATAATGATGGTATTAACAACGTTATTTGTGAATAACTTCTAAATGGTGCGTTATGTTACCGACCGATGTTGAATGCCGCCAGTTTATAATCTGCCGAGTTTTAGAGAGGCTAGGCAAATTGTGTGTCAAAATTCATTCATAAAGCGGTATAACAATTGCCAAATCTTACAGTTTGCCTAGTCAAATGACAAACGGGCTGCATACACTATTGGTTGGTGTCATATTAATTGAAAATAAAAAAAATGTAAAATTGGTAATGTTGGAAATTTTATGGTCGATTTTATTCTATGTATTAAATCTTCATCTTTCTTCTTATCCTACTCCAGTAGGGTCGCATGTATTAAATGCATTCTATTAATGTGTGTAAAACTATTAAATGCGGATAAAATGTTTTTATTAGTAAGAGTTTAAAGTATATGTGTACACTAATAATTATTTCGGCTTTAAAGCCTATGGTTTCTCTCTCGACCGGATTTTGTTTAATGAGATTCAGCTACGTTGAGCAAAATACACAGGGCAGCATTACATTGCATCGTCTGTCTATTAAACTTAAAATGTAGAGCAAATTTTCACAAAACTATTGCCAATTCATTATAAAATTAAACAAGAATTATTCAGCAAAATCTCGATCCTAAAACAAACTCTGTTCATATTTTTTCTCATTAAATTTTATTATTCACAGACAATCATTTTACTGTCCCTAGAAACTGTTACCATTCAACGATGTTTCTCATTATACCATCATTTTCTTTCGAATTTGTTGACGAATATACACATTCTCGAACATCAATACATTAATCTTCACTTCTTCGCACTCTTTCGAGAGCAGCACAAAACGTATACGACTAAGTAACATATTGTCATAAGAATTTAAGTTACTTACTAAATTTTAACATTCTGATCAACTACTTGCTTTAGAAGCATGAAAACCTCACAAAAAGCGTTGAAGAAAAAGACCAAGAGTTGCGAAATTAAAGAAAAGCGATAGTAGACAGTAGTAGCTGCCTATGTGAAAGTGAAATCCGGTGAGAGGATAATCGTGGATTAATCGCCCCCAAGCGACAAAGCCTGCACAATACGAGGGTCGGCCTTGCTCCCCTCGCGGAACTCCTCAAGAGTTAGCCGGTCATCGTGGTTCTTATCCATTTGGTCGAAGATCTTGTCGACGCGCTTCTGCGGCGTGTTCTCGTCTTCCGGCTGCGGGCTTTGACCCTGGAAATGCATTTGGTTTTCGTACATACATTGTTCTAGTGATTAAAAGTGTGTTACTATCGGGATTATTACAGCTTTCTGTATTATCATTGCTATATATATGCTATATAAATAGCAAGCAACGCCTAATTAGTCATTTTTTTATTTTAAACTAGCTTTCGCCTGCGACTCCATCCGCGTGGAAGCACAAAAATTAAAACAAATATCCTATGTGTTCTTCCACACTATCCTTTATGTCCATCCATCCATCCATCTAAACTTTTTCTTTTATAATATTAGTAAGATTAAGATTACTTATACGTACCACCATCTGATAGATAGCGTCGACTATATTGTACATTTCGTCCCGAGTGATGTAACCATCATTGTCGACGTCGTAGAGACGAAATGCCCCTGTCAAATACACAAAAAAATAACATCAGCTTGTTATTAACAACACATGGCTTGTTCGGTACATAACCGTACTTCTCCTAATATTAAAAGCTTTGTAAAACAATGGGCGACTATTTTGCTGACGTTACAATAACTTACAGTGTAATTTCTCGTCGAGATTGCCCCGTGACGTCACTGATAAGGCTCGTATAAACTCCTCGAACTCGATCGAGCCATCCTGGAAAAAGTTAAATTACATTGTAATACTCCTAGTAATGGCATTTTTACGGAAAGTTTCGACCAATTTAAGTATACAAGGGGCATTGGGAAATGTTAAATTATTCCTAATTCCTCCAGTAGGGACTAAATTGTTAGTGTATATTAAACTGTAATTGGCATACAAACTTGTAGCCATAAAAGTTCAATTGTGTTTCATAACTTACGTTGTTTTCATCGAACACCCGGAACACTAACGATGCGAATTTGCTCGGATCTCCTTGCGGGAAGAACTGCTTGTAGATCTTAATGAAGCCCTGCAAAGACCATATTAAAATTATGAACACTATTTTTACAAGTTAGCACTTTAAGTCCTTCTAGTCACTATGACAGCAGTGCTTTAAGATTATATTACGTTCATGTTTAATCCTCTTATCCGAATCTAAAATTGAATGTATAGTCGAAAAGATTGATAAATGTTTCAGACAGTAAGGGACGAAGGGCGTCCGAAATACAATCTCATCTTTCTTGAACTCTTTTATTAAGGAATTAATTGTGTCTTTGTAATGTCGTACCTGTTCCGTCAGCAGACCATTCGGGCAGTCTTTGAGAAAGCCTTTGTGCCTGGAATAAAAACAAAAAAATATAATGAAATGTCTTGTTGGAGCAAGGACTACTAATTAATTTTTTTTATTTTTAATTTCCAAGCTCACCAAAGGCGTATCTCCTTCTCTGTAACTGAAACAAAAAAGAACAGTGTTAGAAATTTTTTTTAATATCATATCAAATATAAAATCTGTTTTTTAAGTGTAATTGATTTGGATAGCTATAGCTAGTTCCGACAATGACTATCAATATTTTTTATGATGAGTTTTTATAACGAGATAAACATACGAGTACATACTTAGAAATTATGTATTAAAACATTAACTGTATACGTAGTAAATATATGAAGGCAAAACTGGCGAACTATAAAACTACATCTTCACTGTATTTGATAGACGGCTGGAGTTATACAACAAAGTTTCTCAAAACCATTTTTGCACCACCCTGAAATTGGACAGTATTCATGTACATCCAAAAGATATCTCTTATCAGATACGCCTACACGAAGTTAACTAGCTTTAATATAATATACTTAAATGCCTTTGATTGCACTCTACATAGGAGGCAAATACCTCTTTGTATCAATCACTCATCCTACCTGTTTTCTTACGTCTAAATCGATCCATCAACTAACTGCGAGAAAAAGGTGAAAACCTAGTTATGAATTAGTTTTAAGTATTAATTTATAGCGTAAGGGGACCAAGAGCGTAGGGCGTTCTTTATCCAGGTGGGCCGACTTAGTACGCACGACGGGAAGTCGTTTGATGCGGAAAATGGAGGACCTCATTCTTTGTAAGGAATATTTTACAAAGAATGAGGTCCTCCATTAGGTCCCCAATAGTGGAAAGTCTACGTCCAAAGGAGGGCAGAAAAAGGCTGTTGACGATGATTAATCTAGAATATGTTACGAGTACGTAACTAATGTGTACTTTTTGTGTGGTGAAATTAAAATGAACCTTCGCTCATTAATGCTTAAACATAGTCATTTACATCTCAAATCAAATTTCGTTGCGGCATCTACTACCAAGGAGTTGACTTTAAGATATTATAAGAATAAAAGTTGATCAAACGATAATATTGTGGTAGTAAAATGAAGCCGAAAGATCCGGGAGCATTAATGTTGCCGGTCTTACGATACTTTCGTACCGGGATTTTTTTTCAGAGCTTTTTTTTCCAAGTAGCAATATTTAAAATTGAACGAAGCCCAATTGCGTTCTGAGAATTTAGTATTTTGTGGCCGGCTTTATTAAATTTTTAGATTATGTTGCCTTATATTTTACACCGAGTGGTTATATTATTCGAGGCGGCGTTCGTAATGAAAGTAAGCTTTTGAGATTAGTGAGACCTTTAACGACAGTTACGAAGTTGTTAAGGACTGGTGAAATTAGGGTAATCATGGTAAAGATGATAGATACATTTGTTAAGACTTCATCTATCCTAGGTATGGGTCATCATCATCATCATCTCCCTTGACTTATCCTACTCCCGTAGGGTCGGCGCACCGGGTTTTCGTCCTCCAAAGCACTCTATCATTCCGTCATCTCATTCATCACTCCCTTCTTGATCATGTCACCTTTCACGCATATTAACATGGGTATATTAATATTAATTAACATGCCTTGAAGTCAGCCCTTAGTCTTGTTAAGTGTGTTACAACGTTTTTGGGATTGACAAATCACCACACTTTCACGAATAGGTATAATAACCATGACGATCTCGTTTTTTTTATCGATGTTTAACATATTTTAAAAAACATAATGTATTTTAAATTTTGTCAAACCTAGTAAATAAATTAAAACTTTATGTAACCTTCCCAACTTTAGGGCTGGTCGATTTCTCTATAATAAGCTTTAGCGGATGTTTTTTCCATTTTTTTAATTACATAGCAGTATTTATGTAGTTGTGCCATCAAGTCTTAAATCAATCCCGGGGATTTACGATGTTTGGTTAATTAGTAAAATTGATAAAAATCCTACCTTTTTTTACTTAACACTTAACGAATTTATTTCTAAATTTCTAAATATGTACCAACTTATTATGTAATAAAGATAATAAGATAAACTAAGATAGATAGATACTAACTAAGATAGTAAGATGACAAAAATAATAAGATGATAAAGAAAAAATAATGTGTGATACATTTCCGCTAATTCATAGTACTATAGACGCTGCCTTAATTTTTAGCGGAAGATTTGGAATGTAATATTTATGCAGAATATATTATCTTCGAAGCATATATGTTATGGGGAAAGTATACCTATATAGTCTTGTCCATCTTCCAAGTTAATCTCATTTCAATGGTGACACTTCTGAGGATTAAAATGGCTGTTGTTTTGGTTCGTGACTTTTTAAAAATAAAATATAATTTTGTGTACATAGAAATATTAAGAAAAAAATAAAATTGTTATCATTCGATTTAAATTTTATCCAGTGTTTTTTTTAATAATAAATGTCTTTCAGGTTACGATACTTGCGTTTCTGGCGAGTGGAACTCGTGCTGGATATGTGTACCCAAGACCTTCAATACCGTTCAATTTACCTGTAAACACGCCCAGCAATTCAGCAGAAGAACTTATATCACAATCACATGAGAAGGCCGTGTCATATTCAATACCCATAGAAGAATATCATTATTTAAAACAACATAAAGCGGAACATCAATCATCAGTTCTAAGTGATGTCCATTCTAATAATCTTGAAGAATCTAAGAACAACAACCTCAGAAAGGACGAAAATCTATTATTATTAGAGAAGATAATTCAACATTATGATAACGGTTTTACAAACTTAGAAGAGACAGCAATCGAGCACACTGAAAATCACAACGGCAATGCTGTAGAAGAAATAGTACAACAAACTGGATCACCTAATACTGTTCCGATTAATGATGCACCAATTGTAAATGAAATTCCCAATGCCAATATTAACCCTATTCTAATACAAAATGTGATCCCACGAACTGAAAATTACGTCCAACATAACGTAATACAAAACGTTGTTGAACCAGTAATCCATAAGCATATTTATTTCCACGTACCACCTCCTGATATCGAAGAACCAGTAGTACAACGTCTGCCTGAACCAGCAAAAAAGACATACAAGATAATATTCATTAAGGTGCCTTCCCAAGAATCGTCGAACAACGCAAGAATTCAACAAGCTATCAACAATCAAGTTAATCAGAACTCTGCTGTGGCGGAAAAGACTTTAATATACGTGTTAGTGAAGAAACCAGAGACCGTGCAGGTTGTGCCGCCACCACCGCCCACTCCATCTGAGCACGAAGTACTATTCGTGAATTATAGAGGGAAGCAAAACAGTGCGCCTTTATCAATTGCCAGTAATTTGTTTCAAGAAAGTTCTGTGCTAAGCCAAACTGATTTACGACCAGGGTTGGTTAACAGTCAGTGATAAGGTAGATAAGGGTTTACAATTTACTTTAAATATGTTATCTGTTTGTTTTGTTTTGTTTTGCATCTAATTAGTAATAATGAAACAGTGAAGCCAAATATTTACATAGTTATAGGAATTAACAGTTGTAATTACGTACGGTTGTAACCTGAAAAGTCCATTTTATGCAGTGCTAGTATGTGCGGCAATATGCTTACAATTTCAAAATCATTTAAATGCATGTTATCAAAGTATACTTCAACTTTCTCTGTCAGAAAACGATTATATACTCTGTTCACGTAATTAATTAATTCGATGGCCTAAAATTAGTCGCCACTATTAATAATATACGCAATGTCATGTAAAAATATATTTTTTGTAAATAAATTGTGTTTTTTTAGAAATAGGATTGAGTTGTAATTTTTATGATATTCACTGCGCGTTATTCCAAAACTTCATGGTTTAAACTTATCTTGTTGACGAATTTTTCATACCGCTTTGCTGTGCGCATAATAAACTTACAAAGTATAGAGTGAATAACCTTAAACTCTAATTTGTTTAAAATACATAATGTAGTTGTAAAATAATAAATTTTTGATAACATTAAGCGATTTTGTATGCGATGTGTGAAATTAACATTTTAAATTATGCGTACACTAATTTACTATAAAAGTTTCCCATAATCTTGCGCAAAGGTCTCATAATCGATGACATAATCGTATTGCGCGACCGAGATTGATTGCGACATCCAAAAACTTCTTATTGATTATTACCGCATCCAAGGTTCAAAGTAGCTATCGTTTTAACATGGTTAACATAAAATAAAACACTGGAATTTAGTATATCTAAAACTAGAATATTTTTTACGAGTTAACTTAAGAGTCAAGTGCTCCATTACATCATATACTAATCATACTTCATACTAATATTATCAATGCGAAAGTTTAGATAAATGGATGTTTGTTGGAGTTTGTAGTGTAAACGACTGAATGGATCTAGATGAATGTGGCATAGGTGTAGTGTAGTATTATAGTGTAGTAGTCTGGAAGAACACATAGGCTACTTCCTTTTTTAATTACACGAACAAAAGTTAGTATAGACATATATAACTGACAATAATCTTGTATGTATATTTTTTATGAATTTCGTAAAATTACCGTGTAAAAAGATCGGTGGCAATAAATCCCTACAGACCTATTTATTGTGTAACGTAATCCCTTTTTTTTATCAAATATCGAATGTAGGTAGAGTTCGTAAAAGGATTTTGATTTGGACGCGCAAATGTAGTATTGTGCCAAGAAATGTGTTTTCGTCCTATTTTGCCTTCGGATTCTAAAATATACCATTATTGGATACATTAAGGATAGTTTTCATAAACCGCTATTATATTTTCTGTATTTATAAGTCAAAAGTAATATTCGATTTGCAAATATCTTTACTTATCCACTATTTATCATTTTTAATTAAAATCTAGTTCTTGTAAAAACAATCTATATGTAGATGAATTAATTAACTTTGTTCATTAAAGTAAATAATACCAATTGGCTAACAAAACGAAACTCGAGTAACAGTAAAGAAAAACCTTTATCATATATCACGGGGTAAGTAGATAATATCACCTCGATGTGGAAATAAAACTCGTGTTAAGGGCGAAGGCTGACCTTTTGGAGCGAACGGAAATTGCACGTTATCTTTGCTGTACAGCAATGGACGCTAGTGGCTATTCTCGGTAGGATTTCTACATCACCTCTTTAATTAACCAAACATAGTAAAAATATATTTCTTCTTACTTCTATTTGTTTAAGATATTATCTTTTAAAGAGATAGAATAAAAGAAAAAAGGTTTCTTATCCTATTATAATAGTAATTAAAACAGCGCACACACAACACCACACAGCCGCGTTGTGGAACGGTCTGTCCTCGGCGGTATTTCCAAACCAATACGACTTAGGGTCCTTCAAGAAGCGAGCGTACAATTTCCTCAAAGGTCGGCAACGCATCTGTAGTTCCTCTGGTGTAGCGGATCTCCATGGGCATCGTTGCCCACCTCTGTGTTCCCACCGCTCGTTTGCCCTCCTCTCATAAAAAAAATTAAAACTCAGATCTCACCCGGATTTTGTTTTTACCTGAATGTAATTTTATATCAAAAAGCTGAATACGATATTTTTCGTTATGATATAAAATTTAGTTACGCAAACACAAAAGGCAAATCCATAGGGAGCTTTTACACTGAAAAAGTTAATAAATACAATACATTTTTAATTTCACATACTTTTTAGCATACTGCGGTCGCTGTCGCATCGAAAATTATGTTGTTCCAAAAAAGCAGACTATAAAATCCAGCTTGCAGCAAACTTGGCAACTTTTTAATTAAAACTATCACTTCTCACTGGATTGCATTTTGCTTATGATATTTTTTACTTATAGAAACTTGATGCTGTATTAATTATAAACTTCGTCAGTAATCGTCCTCTAAAAATACTGCAAATTATTCTCACAAACTTCGTGGCAGTGCGTAAAACTCATTAAGTAAAAAATGTAAAACATTATTTTAATGATTTTAATTTAAATTACATTTGCTTTCATAAATTTATTTCAGTGGATTCAAGAGATAATTATACATCCAATGTTGAAAATATTTAGTTAAGCTAAAGTTTTAATTGAAGGCGATTTGCACATCTGAAATTGTATAAATTATGCAATGGAAACTTCCATTTCTACGTAATATATTAAAGCAAAATAACTATTTAATTACAGTTGTCATACAAATAATACTAAGTACTTAAACTTGAAAGTTTCAGCCGTTACATCACTTAACTTAAAGCAAGAAAAAGCAACTTGAGAACGGCAAGTAATTGCTGCTATACTAATTTAAGTACCCGGCAAAATTATATTTATTGCAGTTGTTTCAAAGATGGTAAAAGTTTCGAGATATAATTATTCTTTGTCGTTACCAATTCAGATTGCTGAGACCAGGAAATCTAGTTAAAAAATATACTAGTATATCACGACGTATTAAAACTAAAACAAGACATTCAGAGCATTCTAAAGACGACTTCGTGTTAATTTATCATAGCAACTTTCATTTGTTTTTACTTGATAGAGATACTGCCGACTGTCCTTTTACGGTAGTCCTTAAGTACGTAAAACATTATAAAAAATAAACCACAAAGTATAAGAGGTAAATAGATATATTCTTATGATCTACATCTATGACTTCTCATATTTTATTCCGTCTAATCTAATGCGGTTTCCATTGCATTTTCTCTTTGTGCACAAAACGTAGTTATTTTAATATGCTCTCGTCTATTTTTGTTCTTCTAATAGCATCTATTTGTATATGTTTACGTTTGATTCTGTGGTTTAGTATTTTCTTATTGAAAAATGTTTTTAAGTTTGTATAAATTTAGTTCAGAGTGCAATTTAGAACCTTTCCGAAATAGATCTAATAAACAGACTGTAATTGCGTTTCAATGCGTTTTATAGCCATCGTACAATGCAATTTACCCTTAATTTGAATCCGCTATTGTTTTCGAATTGGTTGCAAACTATTAAATACTTTTACACCTTAATTTGATTACAAAATGTTGTTTATCTCTTAATTGGATTGCGTACGATTTATTCTTACTCAATCAGTTGGTAGAAACAATTAAATCAGTAATAATAAATTACATTTAGAGGAGTTAAAAAGTTTATCTAACTAAATCAATATTATTTGCTATCACTAAACAGATATTATGTTGAAAATGTATTTCATGGAGTCGTTTAATAAATATGGAACTTGGAAAAAGACATGTATTGCGAGATATTTTTTAATAAACATCCGTTCAGATGTCAAGAATTAATAAATTATTGAAAAAATCCTCTGTTCGTTTGTGCATCATCTGATTTAATTTTGCTTATTGCGTTCAGTTTCCTTTCAAATGGAATATCTAATAACGTTCCGGTAAGCTCAGAAAGGTTGAATTAAATCGGAAAATGTTGGCTAATGGAAATTGAAACAGCGAGCCGTAGAATGCATAAATTCTTTGTTTTCGAATTAATGAAAGGGGAACTGATGTCCAGACGGAAATGTTAAGGGCCCTAACGGAATTTTTGAGTTTTTACTGCTGAAACACTTATAGGTAAATATTGTTATCCCCGTTTTTTTAAGGAAAATAAAAGGGATGTGATGATTTTGTGCTACAGTTTCAGAAACCAACGGTTGGCTATTGCACAAGTTAAATAAGTAAGGAAGGTTTTCAATAAATGTTTTTATAATTTAAAGTCACAGTTGTTTCCAATTGCAATGAATTCACAATTTCTGTGTAAAACACAATAGTCTCAATTGGTGGTAAGAATAAATTTTATTACAATAATTGTCTTTTCGTTTTTCAATCGGCAATTTTCATAGCCGGAGAGGAAATTGAATTCGATTTCCCCTAGGTAACGTAAAATTGGTACGATTTAAGATGCTATCTATTACTATTAACTGCTAGAGGACAATTTTCCCTTTTTTTTTAAATCTGTATCTGTTATTACTTTTTAATCTACTGAATCGTATATATAGGGTCTAAGGAATTTAATTCACTACAAGGGGTGTATCGGCTGGCCCAGATACCGCTGGCGAGATGCCGTAGAGCTGGACCTGCGCGAGCTAGAGTCGATCGGCTGGCAGGCGACGACGCGAGTAAGGCGACGCTGGCGTTCTCTCGTGTCGGAGGCCAAGAGGCCAAGACCCACTTTGGGTCGCTGCGGCAACGCAGTAACAAGTGGTGTAACCGCTAGAGACTGATATTTAACGTGTACAAAATTCTGGATTTTCTTGAATTGATGATTCCATAGACCCTTAGATCGTATAGCAGTTTGATATTTTAGGCCCTGGCGGTTAAGAAATAGCAATATTTTGTATAGAGAAGGTTGCTCATTAATTTCTTGTAGAATTATAAACACGCCGAAAGTAATCTAAGTTGTTTGTTTACAATAAACTAACTCGTTGTATTGTACACTTTAACTTTGTCTTCCCCTTTGCCACGCTATGATTTTATAAACTGGTGAATTTAAAAGTTATTAGTCCTTGACAGATTACTTTGTCTATTTTATAAATGCTAGTAAAATTTATATAAATGGTCCAACAAAGGGCCAGTTGTGTAAGCGAAAACCGTTAAAATACGAGTAAAAATATCAGTATTGTGTCACGATCAGCCCCAGACGACGGACTTTTGTGCGTTCCGACGAACATTTTTCACGTTTACCTGCGATGACGTGTTACCGCACACAAAAGATACGGTCTTTTTGATTCCAGCCTTTACGTGCAACTGATATGACAGGTAACGCGTAAAAGGAAGCGTTATTTCGTTGACGTGCTATTTTTAACGTAACTTTTTAACAGAGATTACTTTAAATATTAATGGGACAGATTTAACGTTAATCTAACCGGTCTTAACTAGACGTATAACTTTAAATTGTGAGTTCATGTACAGAAATATCTGTATAAAAACTTGGTCTTTGATGACGTATGCAGATTGGGATGAAAATGAAACAAGCGAGAGAATATTAAAGACAAAATAGCATTTCTGAAAATCAATTCGCCGAGATTGATTAAAAAATATTTGTTTTTATTAATATAAAAACTTTTACGAAGTAAAAAATGTTTATGTCAACAAAAAAAGTAATAAATTGTCTGTAGCATTCTACATAAGCGCCATTCTAACAATGGCGACATGAGAGGGTCGATGTGTTGTTTACGATTGAAACTTCCTCGATGTCAGTTAAACATCCCTAGTCAGTAGTTAGCGTTTCAAAACAAATGTAACAATGAATCGTTTAGTTTCATTACAATGTAATAATGTACAGTGTACGTTTGACTTTCGTCCGCGCAATGCCAGAATGCCTGTGTTTTCTGTGCCCCTTAAAAGTGTAAGTACACATAACGGAAATAATTAAACCCTCTTTGTGCTTTGTCGTGTTCATGTATACCAAAATGTTATATTACATTATCTTTATAATGAATTACACTACGCTATAACCATGATTTATAAAAAAATAATATGTTATTTTAAATTTTTCACAGATTATCATCAAGCTGCTGTTGCTGTGTTTCACAAATTATTCAATTGAAGGTATACCAATAAGTAACGGATTTAGCCTTAAATTCAATCCCATATCTCACAAGGAACCAATCAAGCCAAGATCTTTTGGTGCATTATTTGCGAAAATACCTCAAGAACTTCCACGTTCCGTGCACAGTAACCAGGAACTATCTGAGGCTGTTTTCGCACATCCAGCTAATTTGGCGGACGGATGTACAAATCAGGTTGCAAAAATGGTATATCCCAAAAGTGTTGCGAAATATGTCAACGAAACACAAACACCGGAGACTGTGAACTTTATAAATTTACCTATTATAAGTCAACATGCGGAATCATATAATGTTTTAGTTGCAACTGCTCCTAAAAATATCAGAATAGGCCAGAAAAGGGACGCCTTGCCGACAGTACTTTACGTTGTCTTCCCAGGAGACGGGGAATCAAATGAAACGAGTAACATGAACTTACCAGCGATATACTTTGTTAATAAGGATGACGATAAAGGTGAAGTAACGAAAAAAGAAAAACTCGAACCGATTTTTATAATAGATAGTAACCGTACAGTGACTGGTCTTAAAAGTAAAGAAGTGTCTAAGTTTGTTAGATTTAAAAATAAATTGCGAAATCTATATGATAATACTACACCACGTACCTAATTGTAGTTTGAAATAAAATAGAACTGTTAACATATTTATTTTATAATTTTATTATTTCTATTATGCAAATTTTATAGTAAAGTAAATGGTCGACTTTATTAAATTTAAGGTGTTTTATTTTAGTGTCCTTTTTAATAGTGGCTCAGTGGTTTAAGCACTTGACTTGTAATCTACAGGTCTTGGGTTCAAATCCCGCCGCCATGTACCAATGTGATTTTCGATTTTTCGAATTTTCATATGTACATAATTTACCCGACGTTCTTACGATGAAGGAAAACATCGTGATGCAACCTGCACATATCAGCAAAGAAATTCAAAGATATGTGTGAAGTCAACCAACCCGCACTTGGCCAGCGTGGTTGACTATGGCCTAGTCACCCTAACTTTAGGGTAGGCTCCGAGCCCCTCGGTGGGGACGTATAGTGAGCTGGTGATGATGTAGATGATGATGATATTTTATAGATACTTTGGAGTAATTGACTAATTAAAAATGTTTATATTTATATATTTCTATTGCATGGTTGTTTTACGGTCGAATGGGTTATGCAAGTGGAGTTATAAGAAAGTGGAATACACAGTAGTAAATACTCCATTTGAACGCTGAACATTTATCTGATAGACCTCTATTCGTATCATAACTTGTATAATCCAATTCAAACTTTATGACGACTCCGGGTTAGCTGCGAGCGCATGTCTGCGAAGTTGAACGCCAGGTTACTGGCTTATTGCGGGCGGAGTAACCTCGTTCACGGGTAAGCTATGTCTATATTTGTATATTCTCGGACGTCATAATGGTAATTTCACACGAAGGCGTAATAGTATAGCAAACAATGCAGTACTAGTAAAGAATATTATTGTTAACATTAGAAGTCCGCGTTCAAATAATTGTTGTACTGCACGGTTTTACGGTTCAGCGTCATTCTATTCCGTGACACATAAAGTTTGAATCGCACTATACTTGGAGAACTGTTCAAAACCAGTGGCATGCTAATATCGAACATACGTTGCCTTCCATATTGCCGCGAACGATCGGATACTCCGATACAGCTATATTAAATTGTTTTTATTGACAATCCTCGCTTTTCAATACACTCAAAGTGGAGTCGTATTGATTCTCTTATATGTTTAGATATGGTTTTATAAGCATTTTTCGATTGAAATTTTTTCAATACTAGTTTGTTAGGTTAAACGTTTTAAATTATTTTTAATGAGAATTAATTTAAGTACTAGTATAAGTATTTAATTGCTTAGAACAAGTTTTGTGTCCGAGTAATGAACATAGATTAACAGAATTACGAGGCAGATTGATGTTATTGTGACGTCATAAATATATTCTCTTAGCAAATGTTTTATGATTCAGGACATAGTAAAGGAAGTCATAAATATTCAAAAGGTACGCCATCCCTATATTGCCTTGCCTTTAAAAGCTATAAAGGGGTTTCCAAAAAAGGAAGCCGATGTAAGCTATAATTCGTTACGAATAACTAATTCTAGTTTTTGCTGATCCTTTGGAAGTTATATGTATTGTCGAGCGGATAAACAGGTCGGTATCATTCTCCTTGTATTAATAATTCGTAAATCAATTATTGAAGTTAAAGGCATTTGTGTTCATCTTCTATCTGTATATGAAGAGATTTTTTGATTTGTTAATATGCGCTCCCAAATAGTAAAGAGACTGACTTTATAGGATGATTTAAGACTGGTTTCCGAGTCGAAAGAAGGAAATGTTTTGCTTGCATGAATTAAAATTATATTCTTTATCGTGTTTATCTGTAGATGTTTATGAATTTATTATTAATCAATTACGAATCTTTCATTATTTAAAAAACGAGCACTAATAAATGTCTTTTTATCCAATCCGTCGTTTCTCTGTATCTACTTTCTAACTAAAACAAATGAGACTTGTCTACAAAATCGTACCAATACACGACTTTCGAAATTCGATAACGAATTGATATCTAAAATCGAATTAATGATAATATTTAATAGCTTTTGCTCGCAACATTAACATCATCAGCAGCATTTGTCTGCCCAACGTTGTCTGACATCGTCTACTCAAAATTAAGAAACAAAACTAAATATGTAGCTTATGTATTCTTCCAGATTATTAAAAGAAATTAGACTATGTTTCATCGCTATGCAAAATTTTATCGAATTCAGTTATGCCGTTGAATAATTTTCATTAAGAGGTTTCCATTTTAATAATCTTTACTTCATTTATAGTAGGAATGTTAATTGGCTGTTCAGTTGTTTACAAACTGTTGCAATACTTTTAAAGTAAAAACACAAAATCATATGTAGTTAATTCGATCAATCGCTAGCGAAAGTAAGTAGCTGTTAAGTAGCCAAGTTACATAAGTCGCACACTTTACGGCCATTTGCGTAATTAACATTAAAGACAAGAAGCCGCATTGCTGTGTCTTGTATTTTGTTTTAATATCATTGTTTAGTGCACCGTGTTTCCATTGTCATATAACTTGTATTAAAAAACGTTGTCTTTCTTGTTTTAAAGGGGGATGTTTTTAAACAAGTGTTTCGACAGTGAAAACAGAAGGGCAGCGTCACAATACGAAACGTTTAAAAAGAAACAACAAAATCGTTTTCAGAAAACCTTTAAGTTTTGCACAAGCTTCCTCTATAACATTAGTATAAATATGTTTAAAATTAATTTATTAATTTGAAAAACACTAAACACGTTCAGTACCATCTTGAGACGCGTGATCACTCGTACTCGCAGTGATCACAAAACATGTTTAGTGTTTCCCAAAGACGAATTCGCAAAGCTAAGTTTACAATAAAATGAGCTCCTCAGGTTGTTTTCACGCTAATATAAGAGCAAAAGTGAATCACTTTCACCGGTTCAACATAATTTTGTAATCTGATCATGAACATTTTTCATAACCAGTGTAGCATTTAAATTAAGCTACGTAACATGAATGATGAATATTTGTTTAGTAGTTATTATAATTATAGAAATGGGGATTTTTTTTAAGAATAAGACCGGACAGATGTGTCATCAGTGTAGAGTACTAACGCTGAAGTCGAGATAAAAATTAATTTAGTAAATTATTAAATATCAATTTATCTTGAGTTACCAGTGACGATTTATATTTAGATTTTTCAAACAGAGTGAAAGAAGAAAATGTATTTTCGATAATGAAAAAAAAAAATTACTAATCTGAAGATATGTCAGAAAATCTATTACGGATTTCATTATAAGTTTTTAACTTTTTATGCACCGAAATAAAAGATTTTTTGCATATATTTATGTATGCAAATGTATCAAACTAATTAATTATTCATTTATTTATTACGTCATAGTAACGTGTAATTTTTTAATGAATACGTTACCTTCATAAAATTAGATTCTTATTAGGTTTATAGGTCGAAGTTTTCTTTCTTAAGTGCCAGTTATTACAAAACTGCCTAACAATCATTAAGCAGTTAAGACTCCTCCATTAGAGGTGATAATTGAGGCGTTTAAATTCTTCAACACTTCGTAATAATAAAATTACTTTTTGAAGTATTTCTTTATGTACGAGATGTTATAAGTAGATAATATCATGTTCAAATTCTAGTAAACATAAAATATATGTAATTAATGAAATTATAAGAAAAAAGATTTGATTTGATTTTTTATTGTCTTCCATTTACGCTTTATAACACTTTTCTATTTTCGTCTATATTCATTCGTTACTTTCTTGCTTATGTAAATAAAATATGTGTAAAAAAATTCCATTTCAGGCCAATTAATTTTATAATTTCCAGGTAACAAGCGACAAGCATTTGCAAATGTAGGCGCTAATTATAATTAAGATGTAAATGATTCTCGCTTTAAAATTATGTTGCTGTAACTTTATTAAATGTAACAGAGCTTTTGCAGAAAAAATGCAAAAAAAAATTAAAATGTGACTTACACTAAATATTTGATTTTATTTTTAATTTTGTACTTTTTTAACGAAATGCATAGATTGGGTTATTAAATTATATTTAACGTGATCGAGAGTGCGTTAATTGTCATTGAGTTCAAAAATACAATTTATGAAAGTGTTGAATTTATTCATACAAGATATATCTGGTTTTTTACATTAAATTTAGGTCATGGTACAATTACATGTGTTATAAAATATTCTTAAAACAGAAAACCTCTTAAACAAATAAATATGGAATAGAAAATTATCTAGAAATGCGAAGTAAAATTGTCAAATTTGTATATATATGTGGGATGATTTAGTATTAAAAAAAAAGGTTTTATTTGATTATGGCTGTTTGGTTAAGTCATATGTCAGGGGAGATGTCAATTGAAAAATATAAAGAAAGAGCGTTGGCTGTTATAGTTATTGAAAATTAAAATTAAAAAACATAAGTATGCCCTTGTCATTAAGTGATATTGTTTGATTAAATTATCTTTTGGATATTAGATTTCTTTCACCTACAAGCGAAGGCCACCTTTCTAAATGTGTCGGAATTCTGAATAATTTTTTTGCTGTTAACTCCAAACAAAGAACTGCTCGGACAAAAGCGTTTATGGAATTTATCCATTAATTACAGCGCCTTATTAACATAATAATAGACGATATATTTGAATAACGCTTTGTTAATTACGCAACATAACCAAAATCTATGCAAAGTAACGCAATTTGTGGCTTTATTAAGTCAATTTACGCAACGACTTTGAGTCTGTACTAATGGTTTTTAGTAGAAAGGATTATTCTATTTATCTATTCATTAGACTGCGACGTTCTAGGTAGAGCAACCGAAAGTTTTAATTTTCTATGACGTTGTAAAAATTGCTAATAATTTGAAACGATTTAAGACATCTCTTTTTGTGCCCCAAATAAAACATACAGTTTTAATTATCTATTTGACGATATATTAATTTAAAGTTTATCCAAAAAGTCGAATTCTTTATCTTCTCATTATTCGCATCAAAAAACACTGTATCAAAAAATTTGAATTTTAAATGATTCAACATAATCTGAGATTAAGTCAAGCGAGAACACTTTTGAGGCGTGCAAGGTCGTAGACAGATAGTATCGTTAATTTATTGTACACACCCCTGAACACTGAAGGTCA